CCCCCTGCCCCCCAGGGGTTGGAGGGGGTAAAATCCCCACTTTCTGGGCCTCTTCTGAAGATTCCCAAGCCTCTGGCCCATCGGGGAGGGGGGGGAAGGGTGAGCCTCCAAAGGGTCCTAGGGTGTGTTCCAGGACCCTTTAGAGACTCACCCTGCCCCCCAGGGGCCAGCGGGGGCAAAAATCACCAGTTTCTGGGAGTCTTTTGAAGCTTCTCGAGCCTCAAAGACTCCCAGAAACTGGTGATTTTTCCGGCACTGGATCTGTGCGGGGTTGGGAGGAGCATTACAAGGGTCCGAGTGAGCCTTCCAGGACCCTTGTGACGCTCCCCCCACCTGGAAGCTGGTGATTTCGCCCATGCTGGCCCCGTGGGGGGTGGGGGGAGCGTCGCAAGGGTCCTGGAAGGCTCACCTGGACCCTTGCAACACTCCCCCCCCACGGGGCCAGCGGGGACAAAATTGCTGCCTTCACTCCATAAGACGCACGGACTTTCCCACCCACATTTTGGGGGGGAAAGTGTGTCTTATGGAGGAAAAAAATATGGTATCAATCTAAGATCTCTGTTTATGCAACATCTCTTTAGAATACTTCTTGAGGTCTTAAATTGCTAAAGAAAATGCCACATTACAAATTGGTTCTGGGACATACTCTGTTTCCCAAGCAGTAGTTTGCTTCCCACTCTGGAGGGGGGGAACCCACCCCCCGGGGCCCATGAGTAATTTTGTAACTCCTTGTATTCCGGCCACAACATCACACACCCTATTGTGTGTACCCATGCTGGCCTGCCTATGTAACAGGTTTCTTCCTTCCCTTTTCCTTCTTTTAAATTCAAGGGTTTTAAAAGGAGTTTTTCATCTGAGGGAGGAAGGATGCACTTCAGAGATGGTGGAGAGGGAAGAAAATAGTGCCCTGCTCTCTTTGGAGCCCTCGTGCATTTTCTTGACCATTGAGTCCTTTGCTCTTTCACAAAATACTTAGGGGTTTCTTGACCATTCAAAATAATAGTTTCCTAGTACAGTGGTACATAATGAGGACAAAATGGTTTGGGAAAACTTTCAGTGTTGCAGTCCTTGAAAAGACTCCTCTGACCTTTCCTTTACCTCTTTGTTCCCGTTTGGATGTTCTCATTCCCCACACAATTAACCATGTGCGAAGGTGAACAGGGACGGCATCTTGGTTCTCTGACTGCATTGGGAGCAGCATTTCTACTCTCCTTTACATGTTTCTCACTGCAGGGCAGATCAGAACACCTCAATAAGACTGTTGTGTACTATTCAACTTAAGTGAAAACCATGACTGAATTATTGACATTGGGTGAATATTTGATGTTTTATAAGGGTGGAATAAATCATTTTCATAAAATTCATAAATTCAAATGACATTGTAATGAAAGGATTTGATTGCCATCAAATCTACAGGGAACACCTAGGAGGGACTTGTTTTTTTGTATATCTTAAAGGCTAAGGGACGTGGTGACGCTGCGGGTTAAACCGCAGAAGCCTCTGTGCTGCAAGGTCAGAAGACCTGCAGTTGTAAGATCGAATCCACATGAATATATGGCATAATAAATCCCTTAGCCTTTAAGGTGCTACAAGACTACTAGTAGTTTTTACTCTCTTGTAAAACACATATTTTTGAGGCTTATAAATGCTTAGAAATGGGAGATTTCTAATAGATTGACATGAAACTTTTTTCAGCTTTCCTCACATTTGCTTTGTTGCTGCTATGGGGAAAAAGTACATTACTTGTTCAGGTTCATGATTTTCTGTTATCCTAGAGCAGTATTTAATTTTCACACTTCTGAAATAAATTATTTGCAGGTTACTGTACTATTGTTGTCATGAGCCTAAAGGGTGTAAATATGTGATTCATCCCTATTTTATTTCAAAATGTCTTTGATACATGTTGAAAATAAACAGAACCCCCACCTCTTAGTGCAGTATATATTCTTTGAAAAAGTTCAATCGAATTTCATGTCTACCTCAGGGCACATGTTTTTCTGGAGCACAGAGGAACCTATTGGAGTTTATATGTAGAATACCTACATATTTGTTTGGGGAGAGGAGGTTATGAGCAGCGTTAAAGCCTCAAGTCAGAACAAGCTGTTCTAAGGTGAAGACCACCTAAGATGATTTTATATCTGTGTCATTATAGCAGTTAATCTTCATCTGTAACGATGATTGTATAAGCTATGAATTTGTGAATACCTCAGCACAGGACTCATCCTTTTCTCCCCCCCCCCCCCCNAGAAGACTGCAAAGGCTTTTCTGCCAGCAGCTGTCTTTAATAAAAGCTTATGTCGATGACATGTGGCCATGCTCTACTCGGAAGATATTCTTCCTGCAGGATTGTCTTTTATGTGAGATGGGGAGTGTGCCTCAGCATTGCATGGTCTTTCTCATGTTCAAAGGAAGTGAGCATACCTGAATTGGAAGACTGCACATGTGCTTGAACGCAGAACCCATGAGATTATTCATGAGAGACCTCCTATTCGAAAGAAGATAAAAATGTCATGAGAGAATTGTGATTATTCTCTTCCTGCTTTTACTGTGATGATTGATCTCTCCATATGGTATTATTCCATTTCACACACGGCAGGAGAAGCAAGAAAAACAAGGGGCATAGTCACTAATAGGATTTTCAGTATTAAAGAACTCAACCTGATAATTTGGTGGGAACTCCTCAGGACCATGAGCCCTCAAACTGGCTGGAAATAAGAGTAACCTTTTATCTGAGACACGTGTGCTAACATACATAGGGGTGACTTGGCTGAGATCAATGAGTTCATGTCAGAATGGAATTTGAATCTGTGTAGGTTTGTAGAGATACATGGGAGTTGTAGTTTATTATGTGCTGTAAAACTGCATCCAACCTACAGTGACCTTAGCAAGGTTTTCAAGATATATGAGATATTTAAGAAGTGGTTTTGCCATTACCACACAAACACACCAGTGAATTTCTGTGGCCAAAGAGATCTGAACCCAGGTTTCCTGAGTCCTAGTTCATCATTTTATCCACTGCATCAGACTGGCTCTCTGGAGAGTTGTAGTAACTCTTTGTTTTTTGGGCTTTAAACCCATTCACCACTTGGCTTTTCTCAGTCATTTTCCCTCTGCTTGACTTATCTCATAGGGAGGGGTATTGTGAAGAAACAGTGGAGGGGGAAGAGTGTTGTGCATGCCATTTTAAGCTTGCTGTCAGAAAGGTGGGGTATAAATATAATACCCAGTTCGACAGTTGTAGAGGGGATGCTTGACAGTGGCAGTGGGGGTGGTGTGACATCTAGGTACTCTTGTGGAATAGGGTAAGAGGAGGGAAAGTAGCAGGACAGCAGAAGGAAAGGGGAATTTTTTTTAAAAAAATATCCTTACTGTACAGTACCATGACCACCATCATTATGTGCCATTATGTGTTCTGAGGATTTTTTTTAAAAAAAATCCTTACTGTACAGTACCATGACCATCATTATGTGCCATTATGTGTTCTGACTTGCGACCGTTTCTCACCGTTTTCCAGGTACAGACTACTCAGAAGTGGTATACCATTTCCTTCTTCTGGGGGCAATTATGGGAATATGCAGCTTGCTCAAGGCTACACAGACTGGCTCTTCTCTCTAGAGGCACAGTGGGGAATCAAACTCCCAACCTATGGCTCTGCGGTCAGATACCTAAACCACTGAGCTATCCATTAACTGAATTCAAACTAAAGAACAGCAATATAATTTTTGAAGTAAATGTAACTAATTAAAACAGTCTTCTACCAAGAACAGATATTCTACCCAACTAAATTAGAACTAGAATCTTCCAGAAAGTGTATGATGCAGTAAGATCAGTCTTGTTCTTAAGTAGAAACACCTAAACAATCAGATGAAAATGTTAGTAGCAACACTATGAACATGTTTCCTAAGTCAGGCAAAATACTTGTGTATGGAAATTTCTGTTCAAAGTGTGGAATATCGGCCTCCAACAGTCAGCCTCCAGTCTTTTTCTAGAATCGATGTCTTACCAGAACTGGTCCTTGTATCCAGAGAGATGTTTTAACATATCCATATTCCTGCTACTCCTTTATTCTAAATCATGCTTAGAGTTTCTCTACCATTCTTTGCCTACGTACTCATCTCCCCCACATCAGCCAAGATCAATTTTAATGACAACTCCAGGGTAAGGAAATCTGATTCTACAAAGGCTTTGTACACACAAAATTGAAATGGCTTTTGTGAAATAAAGGGTGAGCTGGGAAAGGTGGAGCTTTTCTTCAGTGATCCTTGTTGGGTCAGAAATTTAATCTACACTTTTTCCCTCACTGATGGTGGGAGTGGCCAGAAAGATGGCAGCAAAGCAATCTGAAAAGCTCAGGTTCGTTGGAAGAGAGTCTTGGATGTCCTTGCAATTGACAGAAAACTTTTGTACTGTAGAATATGTCAAGCACTTGGCTGCTTAGGAACTCTTCACTGGTTATTGAGAGAAGCTAAAATCTACCCTATCCAGAACTGGGGGATTTAAGCTTTTGTGTATTAAGAAGGGTGTGTGTGAGAGACGCTGAAATAGACATTGGATAGTTGTCTATGTGGGAAGAGAAAATTTGAATGTGAAACATGTCCTTGCAAAGAACATCCCCTTGAAGTGCAGATAGTATCAAGAGCCCCAACGATGGATGGTTATGTCCTGGTTCAAAGGAAAAGAGCAATGGCAGAGGGGATAGGTGCCACCAGAAGGAAAGGAGCAGTACTGGCAGCTGTTCTTTAAAGATCCTTGGTAACTGTGCAGCTTGTGGATCCTGAGTTTGCTTTGGGGTAGGTCACTGATAAGAGCAGGAAAGATGTACAATGCATACATTGATGTGCTTTTCTGTAAGTTTCTAAGCCCACTTCAATACATTGCTTGTGGCCCCTACAGCTCTTGAATCTGGACGTCATATTTTCATGGAAATAAATTGCTAAAGCAGAAATACAAATTCAGAAACTTAATTTATTAATTTTTCCTCATATCTGTGCTTGAATTCCAGTGTTCTGCACATTAATAAATATACATTTGTTTCGTTTTGTTTTTTTATAAAAAAAACTCCAGTGTCTAATCTGCCTTTTTTTTTTAAGGGTTCTCTCTCTTGTTGTGGTTAGGACATTTGAAGTCTTCACTGCAACAATTCTGTTCAAAAATAACTACATCTTAGTAGGACAAAATATACACATCGCAGTGAAAAAGCTGTAACATCATTTAGCACATACCCAAGTATAAGATACCAACACACTCAAAACTGTTATACCTCAAAGTTTCACAGGATGAAAACAATATTTTTAAAAAGAGCCAGACTCTTCCCCTCACCTGAAAAGGCCACATGAGAAAAGCGGTGGTGGAAAATGACTAAAAGATTTGACTGGGGAATTTTCTAAAAAATATCCATTAAACAAAATGGGTTGTACGTATCTCAAATTTTTTTTAAAAAATTACTTAAAATACACACTTGTAATCTCTTAGAAGTGAATCACAGACCAAATGTAAACACTTTAAAACCCCACAAATTTCAAGGGTAGGGTAGATTTAAGCACATATTTAATGTCTACTGAAATCAACAGGTGATGTCTGAAATCAAGTTCGTTTGATTTCCTATGTAAAATAACAAGCCAGTGGTAACAGCATGAATCCTGCAAACAAATATAAAAACAATAAACAATTTTCTATGTTACAAATTAAGCATATTTATTCTCCATCAATGGAAATATTACTTGATCCGTCCAAGCAGTCTTCTGCCCAGTATCTACTAGCCTTTGCTTCTAGAAAGGCACTTCTGGGCATTTACATCTTCAAGTCAGTGATCTGGATGAGAAGCTCTGGGGGGGAAATGTGCAGGTACGCACATGCTTATACAAATGAGAGAAGGAGTGATCGAATAAAACAAATCTAGTTAAATGTCACAACTTCTCCACTGAGCAAATAGAAAATTTTGTAGTGCAAAAGGCTTTTAGGCTGCAGGACCAGCGGTTTTGAGTTATGACATTGGGTAATATAAAGAGTGTGTTTATCTGTAAGCAAACACATTTCAGTGCTTGCAGAACCCAACTGATTGTGCTCTGATATGCAGTAAATATATGAATTAAAAAGTTCAAACCTTGTTTCAAAGCTGAGATTTTTTTTCCTATAAATTAAATCATGATTTTAAATCATGGTGTTTGGATCTGTTTATCTTGTTTGAAAATATTTTAAAACGAGGACAAAATTATTGTATATTGTTTCATTTGCAGATATTACTTACAGAATTCCTGAATCATACCTGGACTGAATCACTCTGGTAAACATACCCTGCATAAAGAGTGTGTGTTCCCGCAGCTAGCAGGAACAATATTATATACAAAGCTTATACTATTTAACAGGTACTAGAAGTGGTTGACATCAAATGTACTGTAGTGCTTTCAAAAGCACAAAACAATCCAGTGGGTATTTCTCCTGCACATTGTCCTACCACAGGAGAAAGAAATTAATGGGCTACTGCCTGTTGGTAGTGCGTTCCAACTTTATTTAAATTTGCATGTGTAAATACTCACTCTCCAGAATAGACACACAGGACAGCTTTCTGACTGGTGCCATTCCCATGGCTTAAGGGAGTGATCCTTACAGATAACTCTTGACAATTATTTGCGCTTTGTTTGCCAGGCTCTGTGCAAGCCCTTTTCATACTGGCCTGATGTGCTTTCTTAGTACACTAAAATGGCAAGACGTTTGAGGTTGTAATAAGGCCTTAGAGACAGAAAATAAAGAAGAATCAGTAGCTCCCTTTGCTGGTTATTGGCTAAAATGAATTGGGAGTACATCAGATCATCCAACAGCTCTATGTCACAATCTATAGTTGGCACATCAAATCATACTTCTCTAAATGTTATCAATGCCAAATTGTTTCCCTTATACTTATTTAGATTGGGATTGGAAAGTATGAAATCGAAGGAAGAGGGGTGTTAGGACTGGGAGAGCATGGCTAAAAAATATCTTTGCTTAAGACCCTTAATTTGGAGGATGTGTGGTTCTCCCAGATATTGCTGGGTTGAAATCCCCATCAGTCTTCACCGGGCTGGGTTGGGCTAAAGGGAGTTGTAGTTTACCAGCATCCAGAGGCCAACACATACATTACCCCTCTTTTAATAAACTCACAGCCAATGCATGATTTGGATAAAATACTTTCTAGCTTATATTTCACGCTACCCGGAGGCTCTCAGCATGCTTTAGTTAATACCAGAGGAACTAGCATAAGCGAAATTCCCAGTGCATTGTGTTTAGAAGGTGACACGACTGATTTCAAGCCATAATCAAGGTAAAATACATCTCAACGCAGAAATATTCACAAAACGTATTTACAGATTTGAAGCCTCCTTTTAAAACACGACACAAATAGAAGGCTAATGGTCCTGTCTTTTTTGTTGTTGTTGTCAACACCTTTTTGTTCTCCCTACGCAGAAAGATGATACCTTTAAAAAACAAACGTGAAATTGCCAAATTGCTGAAAGAATATTATGACTCCTTAGACATTTTCACCTTGGTTATCAAACGAAGAAGGGTGAGTTGCGGAAGAGAATGTTAAATAGAACATCCATGGCAGGATGTGTATCTTTTTCTGACTGTAGATGTCCAAAAACACATTGCTGTCTTTTTTAAAAAAAGACTGCATCACAATGAGGTTGGGCTTAGTACAGACACTAGTTATGCTTTCTCCCTCCTCTCAAATGCCAAATTCAAGTACACTTGTGCATTTCATTTTTAATATAAAAAAATATCAAAGCTCTTTCACAATTTCCTACTATCAAATTTAAGAGGATCAGTATATATGTGAAATGTACAAAGAATCACCATACAAAATATATAAAATTATCTACAACTGTATATATATATATATATGTATATGTATGTATATTTATATCAAAATGATGGTGTTTAAGACAAAGTGTCCACCAAAAGCTGGTGTAGAAACTGGTGAAGAAATTAAAGGGCACTTGTGATAAATTTTCCTCCTGAGTTCAGAGATCCTATTCGAACAGAACAAAACCCCAACATGTTTAAACACTGGATGGGGCTCAATTGATGGTAGGTGTACTAGATTATTGATAATTTCCTCCTGGACGTTAAGTCATTTGTTAAGCTGGACTGCAGCACTTGCCCGACAGCACTTTCCGTATGGCCATGGCTCCATCCACTTCTCTGAAAGGCATTTTTTCCCTGCCATGAGTTCCATGGATTGGTCTTCACATGTTTTGGCACAACATATGCAGTTAGGCAGGCTCTGAATGTACCCTAAGGAGCAACTCAAAGGAAAACTGATGAACTGGAGTCACAAGTGCTTTGTACTGTGAAACATTCCCCAGATGTGACACCCTTGGCATCCTCCAGGTGCAGCAAGCGTGTGTGGAATCACGAGGCCCCCAAGAAGTGACATCATCACTTGTTGTCCAAGTTGCAACAGCTGTCACAATTTCCTGATGATTCAAATTGAAGTTTCATTACTGCCTCTGTTCATGAGAAGAAGTAATCATGCAACTTAGGGTTAAAAACAGTGAGAGGGTAAAAATTCAAAGTGAAAACTACCTACGTCATTCAAACAGGTTATCATGCAAGAAGATAGCCATGCTTCAGCAACCAACAAAGGGGCCAATCCTTAAAGTAGCAGAGAGGATTAAAAACAGACCAAAAAAAGCAGAATACAACTGACAAGCAGCGAACAGAAAAGTGTTATTCAGCCGTGGTAAACTAACTGGTAAAGCAAAGATTTGGGATCAAGTTTTGAGGTCTGATTGTAGCTTGAAATCCTGGTTAGCTAACCAACATTAAATCTAAGATCCCTATTTCATATATTACAAAGATTTTTTTTGTTTAAAAAACCAAACAGGACAAAAACCCTGAAGGTGGCACTCATATGAGGGAGAGGGAGAGGAGGAAAGGCAAGCAGAAAGCTCCCCCAGTGCTCATATCTGGCTCTAGGCTTATGAGTGTCTGAAATGAATCACTGAAAGGATAAAATGTTTAAGTCTATGGAGAGGGGCATATATCAGAAACCCAAGAGAGGTTTAGCATGATAAGACAGAGGGAAGTAAATCGTAAGCTGTTACTTACTCAGAGTCTGATGTCTCTGCAGTTAATGCTCCTACATGAACATTCATGGCCAAACCATTTATTTGCTCTGGAGGTTGATCTCTCCTTGGGTTCTTTATTGTTACTCCAGAGTCTGAATTAACACGAACTCCATTGTTTGTCCCAAGGGACATTGTTCTAGATGAGATTGTGGACTGATTATAATCTGTTAGTTTCTCCCGTAGCCGGTTCTTCACATTCTTGTCCACCAGTGGAGGAGGGTAGGTGACTTTATTTTTCAGAATTCCTGCCATGAAAAAGGAAGTAATGACTGACAGTCATTTGATATAATCAAATGAAAATAAATCCAGAATCTATTTATTAAGGGGCAAAATTTCGTACACTCTTGTATTTGACCTCGAGAAAGGTTCAGCATATATCTTCTAAGAGCACTCCCTAGTGATGTTCAAGTCTCACAATTTTTTTTCCTTTTTGGTCTAAATTATTTTGATAGGTTATTAGGCTCAAGACTTTAAACTAGTAGTTCCCAAACTTTTTTGAGTTGTGACCCCATTTTATAATAGTCAAGTAACCTGCGACCCTCCCGCCATATTTGCATAAAAAGGCATTTTAAGGATGTAAAGTTATCCCTTCTCGGAAAGTAGAGGCTTCTTTCTCCCCGGAAGGGCCTGTTTCTCATATATACATATACATGTTAACGTTAATATCCAGCTCCAAATGGTCAAGGAAGAAATTGTTGAACAAAGGCTACAATACAATTTAAAGAGACCCGCAACCCACCCGAAAACACAACCCCCAGGTTGGGAAGCACTGCTTTAAATAGAAGCTAACAATGTTCCCTGTGCTCCTATTAAAATATTTTAAACCATCCTTTATCAACGCAGGACATAATAAAAACAGTCTGGCATAAAATCATGCAACCGTAGCAAGAACCCACAATTCACCAGGTCTTAACTGGATGCCAAAATTAGGCCAGCACTTCTGCCAGCTGGGCCTTGAGGAGGGTGATGGATTTCTTAACCAGGGCATAGCAGCCAGTTCTGTATTCTGTACCTATATAATGCTGCACTCCTAATGGTGGGACACAGAGGAGAGCAGCTCTCAGTAACTAGGGAGAAGTATAATGGTAAACGAGTCCCACAACATCTCTGAACAAAATATCTCAGACAGCCACTTCACCTCAAGCTGAGGCAAGGCTAGGGAGGCCAATGTATTTAAACTCAGCAGAGAGATGCTACCAATCACACCTCCCTGTCAGTTAAGGTACAGGGATTCTGACATGTTCATTTTTCACTCAGAATTGTAGTGCACCCCTTCGCCCTGAGCTACGATCTTCAAAGAACACAACCTTTTGTTGCCTCTCTTGTTTCTCTTTCCCCTTTTGTTTTCCATTTCAACACAATAGGTATCAAGAGCAGACCTCCTGAAAACACCTGTCTAGTCAAAAACGCTCCTCCCATGGGAGCCAACCAGGTGCTCCTGGGAAGTCTGTAAGTAGGACACGGAGGAATAAGACTTTAAACTAGCGGTTCCCATACTTTTGTATAAAAAGGCATTTTACGTGGGTAAAGTTATCCTCCTTGTGCTACCCAGGAATTGGCCGTCAGAGACACACTATTTCTGAACCTGGAAGTCACACACAGCCACGATCCTCCATGATTTGTCTACGCATCACCAAGGCCACAGCACAACTATTTCCCATTACCTTTCCTCTGTTCTGGCTGCTGGTGGTTTTGCTGGGCTAGCGGTTTGTTCTCTTTCTGGTGCCCTTCATTCTCTTTGTTCTGAGGTATTTCACTGCTGTGGTTGGCTTGATTTTCCTGATGAAGTTCCACATTAACCTTCGTTTCTACTTTCAGCTTTTGTTTTGCATTCGGTTCCTCCCCATCACTTGCTGTTATGCCCTCAGAGGGCCAGTAGGATTTCACATGATTGGGAACTGAATCAACTGCAGGGAACAACAAAAAGAAATAAAACAAGAACAGAAGAGAGCCCATCTTTATACCTTAAGCTATTCTCAGAAATATTTTCAGGACAGCTATCTGCTATCTGCAGAAAGAAAAAAAAGTCTGCTAGTGATAATTTAGAGCTTTCTGGTTTCTTCCAAGCCTAGGCCAAATGAAAATATATCTAACGATCGTTAGTCCTTTGGCTCAAAATTGGGTTGTACATGATTTCAGACTGAGGCTCAGGCACTCTCCCTCACTCTTCGCTGAGGTAGTGGGAAAACATATTTTCCTCACCCTTAAGCATTTATCATGTTATTGTTCTTTAAAAAAAATCTCAAGTTCATTCTTCTCAAACGACTAAGCTAGAAATTTCTGCACAAAGCTTGAAATCAGAAATAAAATTCTGATTAGTCAGAACAAAGAGACTTACATAAAACTGGCAAATTAATGTTGCTTGGTTTCTGTCTAGCAATCTCAGTCCACACATTCCAAGGGTGTCCTTAAAAGCACGTGTTTGTTATGTGTCATCAAGTCATTTCCAACTTATGGTGACTTGAGTGGGTTTTTCGAGGCATGTGAAATGTTTAAAGGGTGATTTTTCAATCTCAGTCTACACATTCCAAGGGTGTCCTTAAAAGTATGTGTTGTTATGTGTCCGCAAGTCATGTCCAACTTATGGTGAGCTAGTGGGTTTTTCAAGGCATGTGAAATGTTTAAAGGGTGATTTTACGAGTGCCATTCCCCAGTGAGCACGGATTTTTTCCCAGGTTTCTGAGTCCTAGTCTAGTCTGACAGTCTATCCATTATACCACACTGGCTCTCCTAGAGCACATTGCCACTCTTCTTCTTTTTTTCTTTTTTAAAAATCCACTTATATACCATGAACCACAACTCTGGCTCTCATTCCCTTACCTTTGGGAGTGCTGTGGAGTGGACCCCGGTCACGGCTTTTCGAAGCAGCTGTGTTCCATTTCTTTTCTGTGCCTAAGGCATCTTCCTCACTGTCCGAAGAGTGAGAGGAGGCATAAGAACTGCTGTGCTCATCAAGGGACAATTCGCTGTCAGAATCAGAGTCACGCTCTGTAGAGTCAATAACAACAAGGCAGGTGAAAGAAACTGTAAGGAGTAAAATCAAAACTGCACCCCCGGTGCCCACACACCATACGGGAGAGATATGTCATGCTGTGCAAAAAGAATTGGTTATAAGGCATCTTGAAATGCAAAAACTGGGTGATACGTAATGCCCATCATACTTCTCTACCATAAACCTCAGTCACTGATAACACACAGCTGCTTCATCTACTCAACGGATCCTCAGTCCTCTTTGAGGGGCAGAGGAGCAAGTGTTTACATAAGATAGGGAGGCAAAGCATGATGTTATTAGATTAAAACTGTCATCAGCCATAGATAAGGATGTGAAAGGCAGGGAGCTACAGCCCAACAATATCTGGAGGATCAGACTTTGCCCATAAGGGAACGTGTGATACAAGGGGTGCCTACAGAACTATAGAATCATTGAGATGGAAGGGGCCTATAAGGCCACTAATCCACTGCTACGCCCAGGAATCCAAATCAAAGGATATCTGCCAGGTGGTTGTCTAAATTTCTCTTGAATGCCTCCAGTGTTGGAGTGCTCACCATCTCTCAAGGTAATTGGTTCCATTATTGTACTGCTCTAATGGTTAGGACATCTTTCCTAATATTCAGCTGAAATCCGGCTTCCTGTAACTTCATCCCATTGTTATGTGTCCTGTACCCTGGGATGGCGGAGAAGAGTTCCTGCCCCTCTTTTCAAGTAAAATATTATCAGTCTTCTCTTCTCAAGGCTAAACATGCCCAGTTCTTTCATATGTATGTTGGCCTCATCTGCATTTTGACTCACCTTCAAAATATATGGTGGTGGCTGTAGAAAATGATACAAATGAGTATATGCATAGGAAGTACTACAAGCATATCCCTATGTGTAACTGAAAGGTCCTCCTCCCCATGTTGTCTGTGTTCTACATGTGCTCCTTTGAAACTTAACAATACCTTATTCCTTGTTTACATGACCTTGCCTTTCCCATTACTCTGAATACTGATCTGACATAGTGGGTGTCATGGAGCCTTAGGGACAACAGATCTGAGATATTTCTAAGTTGTAGGCCTTTCGTAGTCATTGGTACTTGATAATCAAAGAAATACCCTATATTTATTTGTGTGCATAAGGATGTAAAACTGAGCTGAGAAACTATAAAAAGTGGAGGATGGACATTGATGTTTCTTATATTCAGTTCCTCTTACCATTGGATTTTGATGGCTTTCTGTGAAAAATGGAGGAATCGCCTTCCGTATGACCTGCTCTTGCTTGGCTTGAAGACACACTGAGCTTCTGGGCAGCTTCATCTCTAAAAAAAAAGACAAAAATAAAAAGCAAAATTTTCCAACTCAGTGTGTTTACATCTAAGCAACACTAGGACCACACCTGAGCTCCCAATATTCTCTGTCAAATGTGATGATCATTTGGTGGGTATTAGTACAGCCACTGTTGTAAGTTTTCAATCAATATTTTCTTGAAATCACCCAGCCAAACTGCAGGTAAACAGCAAGTGCGCAAACAAGATCCGAAACAGTGTACAGAAAAACAGAAACCTGCTGAAGCACGAGGAAAAAAAAGAAATTCCTTTGATGCAGCACAGCATATGTCCTCCCCCTTTGCAAAAGCAACACCAAGAGAAAAGAAAAGCCTGAAAGCCATGCACCACCACCAGATTACCTGAGAATATGAGCAAGGTAGCTATTCTGACTCTTGGCTGACCTGACGGTGCTTTCTAAGGAGACTGTGGATTCCCCAATTGTTGTGCGATACATATTTGGCTCCTCTATATATGTGTTGTTACAGTTCAGGGACCGCTGAGAGGACAGGAGAGAAGAGAGGTTAATCAACAAACAAGCTTTCTTTCAGAAAACCATTAAGCTATGTAAAAGGTGAGCTCTTATTAAATCTAAATTCTCCACGGAGTAGGATCATGTGGGCAAAATTCTTGCAGCCCTGGAACACTTCATCCTGTAAGGGAGGGGCTGAATGTTCGATTGCCTGCTCCAGAAAAACAACATCTCCTGGAGAGCATTCCTATTGCCCTTCTTCCTGACACGCTCTTTTTCGTTCTTCAGGTTGCTTTTTATATGGTGGGGCACTCACTATCCAAAGTGGCATGTCCCTTCAAGGGCCACATTATATGATTGCTCTAGTCTTGAGCTCTGGATGCAAATGAGCCCTGCCTGATTTGTACATCCAAAGGATCTTGAGTGTTTTAGGTATTAATCCAAAGAAGGATTAGCCTTCCTAAACTTTCGCTCTGGCCCTTCCAAGTTTGATTTTCAGGGCTGAGAAGCATCCATCAAGCAAGAGCTAATAATAAAAAAGGAACAAACAGAAGACCCTCTTAGTTTTATATATGAGAATATAGCTAGTAAAATGAACATTTCTGAGCCAAGAAACAACTGAAGAGAAATCAGCTAAAACTGAGCATTTGCATATTTGCAAATATACAGAATTATTATAATGCATGCATGAAATAATTGCTTCTTACAGTTAACAGTGTAGCTCTTGTAGTTGTAGAGTCATCTGGAAGCGGCTTCTTCCCAGTGAAAGTATTCTTCAAGTGTTTCCTCACTTCCTTGTTGAATATACAGTGGAAAAAGAATATGAATAGGCCCTAGATTTTTTGAAAGGGATGAAGAGAAGAGAGAGAAAGAATACACATTAAATGCTTACCCTTACATACTGACAAATACAATGATAAGAAAGTAAGAAGGACCTGCTGGGTCAGACAAAATGTCTGTTTAGAAGCACATCCTGTCTCCCACAGTGGCCATGAGAATGCCTGTAGGAGCCCGACAAACACAACATGAGTGCAATCACCCTTGTCTACTGTGGTTTCGCAGTCCGTGGTATACGAAGGCATAGCACTTCTGATCTTGAAGCAATAAACACATCATTCATGGATGTAAAGAATATTAATGGTTAGTAGTCAAGTTTTTAGCCTCTATCATTCTTTAACCCAAGTAACCTGATCAACTTGCTTGGCTTTAAAGAATGGTAGAGATCTCCAGTCCAGTGTAGTGGATAGAGTGATGGACTAGGACTCAGGAGGCCTTGGTTCGAATCCTCATCAGTCATGGAAGCTCACTGGGGGAGGGCACTGGTAAACTACCCCTTAAATATCTCGCTTACCTTGAAAGCCCTATTCAGGTCAATCTCTATAAATCAGTTCCAACTTGGTGGCACACAACATAACAAGCCAATTATCATCGTAACTTGTGGAAGCAAATGCCGTGCATTTAATTATCCATTGCAAGGTGGATTTTATTTAAATAAAATTGATTTAAATCATGATTTAAATTTTTTTAAAATCAGATTTTTAATTATTTTATTTTAAAAAATCAATTGTTTTGATTTAAATAACTACTTGATTTTAAAAAAATCATTGATTTTTATCCACCTTGATGCTGTGTGAAGAACATCCACTAGTCTAACATAAGTCTCCCATTATACAGACTACATTTCCCTAAATCATCTTGTGGCTTAAAAGTTTCTGTCATGAATGTAACTTCTGTTTGTTTGTTGGCCCCTGAACACTAGTACCAACCCCTCTATATTTTTCTAGATTACCATACACACAATCTATTGGAGCAGGCTATGAATATGTGCTAGTAGGGTCTAGGAGCACTTAATCAGAACATCAAAATGGCCATATCCCTCTGCAATAATGAACAGAAGTGAGGAACAGAGACAAACCAAATGAAACGAAACCAAAAAGAAATGAAGAACACTGTTGCACCGTAAAGATTAACTGCTATATTTTAATGTGAGCTTTCAGGGATCAAGCCACAACATCTTGTCTCTTGTTTGTTTTTGTGTGATATGTTTGCACAGACTAACGTGGCTATTCCTTTGAGAAGGCAGGGACAATATAGTTTACTCTGGAGCTAAATGACCAAATAATTTAACTTGGTATAAACGAAGCTACCTACATTTCTATGTACTATAATACACAGAGCAAACCGATCCAATTCTTCCAAGTCATTTCTAAGTTTCCAGTATGAACTCTGGTGCTGATTACATTAACCTTTCCTGTGAAGTGATCCTCACCAAGATGTACGTATGTTAAAAACCACAATCTCTTGAAAACATTAGCAAGTAGTGATATAGCAAACAAGATCTTGGAAACACTAGAGAAAGCAGATATGCTACAGATCCTCCTTTAATTTTCAATTTTTGCTTTGCTGAATTGGGGCACCTATGCCTTTCAAAGTGGAAGATCAATTCACCGAAGGTTGTCACAATAAAATTTCCTTTCACTGTGGAAGAAAAATCTTTCAGGAAGTAGAGGAAGATGAAAGTCTCTTGGGCCAGAATTCTATTGGTTCTTTACAGCAGTTTGAGAAGAATGGTGTAAACTGCAACAGTGATTTGTTGCTACTTAACAAGGTTTCGTTTCTGTTTCTCCTCACATGACAAGTCACACAAGTAGTACACAACAAGGATGGAAGAAGCTACATGGAAAAAGCCTCATAGCGCAGTGGTTAAACCGCTGTACTGCAGCCAAAACTGTGCTCACGACCTGGGGTTCAATCCCAGGTACTGTAGCTGGCTCAAGGCTGACTCAGCCTTCTATTCTTACGAGGTCGGTAAAATGAGTACCCAGCTTGCTGGGGAGGCAATGTGTAGCTTGCATAATTAACTTGTAAACCGCCCAGAGAGTGCTTGAAGCGCTATGGGGCAGTATATAAGCAGCACGCTTTGCTTTGCTTTACATGGATGAGTAGCGAAATGTTTCAACTCAACAAGAAAGAAGTCCAGTTGCCATGACTCAACTTTCAGATAACCACACCTGGATGAATGAGATTCTTCACAGAAACAAGGAATAAAAGTAGCAACTTGTTAAATCATGACAATTTGCCATTGTGATTTATTCCATTGCACTTATACCAGCATAAATAACCAACAGGATTCCAGCCTTTGTTTGTAATGTTTAGTCATAACCCCATTTTAAAAAGGGCACAGTCCCTGACTCAGTGTTGCATCATTACACAAGTGATAAATCTTACCTGTAAACAACTGAAGATTGCAAACAGATAGTGAAATGTCATTACATCACTGTTCACTGCCATCAGACCCAGCAGCCAGGTAGCACTGATCAACAGGAGGAGGAGGAAAGTAGTCCGCAGTACAGAACTAAATGAAAAGCATAAAACAACTTGTATTTGAGGTAATTTAACCTTCTTCAAATCATAAGTTGTCTCTAATACATTACAAATAGATATGACTAACAGCTGACAACTTACTAAGCCCCCATGCCATCAGTGGACAGCCACTGATGAAGCTAGGAAAAGGGTGTTTACTTCCTATAAAGGGTTAGCAGGTGTCTTCCTCACCAGCCTCTATGATTCTACTGCCCTAGACGACTGGATGAGTATTCTCTCTGTCGTAGAAACATAAGATAAACACACACTGGAAACACCATCACTGTCTTCTTCCTTCAGTGGTTTAATTCAGAGAGTCACAAGAATCTCTGGAAACACAGGGTTATAAACGTCCTTTGCTTTCTCTTTTCCCTCTCCCTTTCTGATATCACCAAATACTAGTAATAGAGTGGTGCCTCGCAAGACAAATGCCGTTCTCTTCTCCCTCTCCCTTTCCGATATCACCAAATACTAGTAATACAATGGTGCCTCGCACGACAAATGCCTCGCAGGACAAAAACCTTGCAAGACAAACGGTTTTGGCAAAGGGGTTGATGACTTGCAAGACAAATGTTCCTATGGCCGTGCTTCGCAAGACAAATGTTTTCCGTTTTTTGTTCCTGCCTCATGTTTGCTGATTTTAAAATGTTTTTCTATGATGTTTAAAAAGTTAAAGTTTTTTCATTGAATTTTTAAAAATCATCTGCACATTATTTATGGCTTTAAAGAGCACTTGATAAACCCTTTGTAAACCAAAATTGACTTTGTTCTGAATTTTTTTGTCCATATGAACACATTCATTAGATTTCAATGCATTCCTATGGGAAAATGCATTTCGCAAGATAAATTTTTCGCAAGACAACATTAACTGCAGAACGAATTAAATTCGTCTTGCGAGTCACCACTGCATTAGGATACATGGCAGTCTGTTGCATTTCTCCAGCTTTTAGCATAAGTTTAGCATAGGCTTTAATTACTCTGATGACTGTGAGGCAAATTCCTTGCGTGGACTACAAGAGAAGATTTTTTGCAACTTATCATCAGCAGTTTGTGGATCAACAAAAGGGCTACTCTGGCCCGCTGCAGTTCCTCCTGCCTCAACCCACCCTCAAAGGAAGAAACTGCAACCTGGCCTGGATCAAAGATTCTGAGGAGTCTAAAAATATTATTACAGACACATCAAAATAGAAACTGCCTGAATTTTAGTTTGTAGTAAAAAGTGTCAGGAGATAATTTTGGCAGTGTTTGATTTTAAATTGGGGGGGGGGAGAGGAGAAAGGTTTCATTAAATTTTTTAAATAACTTCACCCTTCCCCAGCAGCTTGGTTATATATCTCATTAAAAAAGCACAAAGTCCTAAGGAGTTGGTAGCTTTTGGCCTAAAAAAGGTACCTTTAATAATTTAGAGAATGCATCACTATAGCAAAGCAACTGGAGAAATTATCTTATGATTGAGATCACAAGCAACCTAAGTTGGCAATGAAACAGGGAAGAGAGTGGTGATAATGCTTCCTCAGTCTTCTCATATGTCGTATTCAGCATGAAATGATAAAATAGAAACCAAAAATTCAACACATTGACCAAAAAAAACCCTAGTCATACAGAGACTCAGCCCTACTCCTCCAAATAATATGCGTTTAAATTTTAGTTGGTGTGAGGAGTGAGATATCACATATTTTCCCATTTTTATCACTGCTAACCATTATTTTCTTTCAGTTGTGGTTACAAACTTACATGACACCGTTTTTTTCCACTGAACGCTGCTTTCGTCTGCAAGATGCTTTCACTGCTAGTATGAAGATTACAATATTGATCTTGAAGGAAAAGTAAATAATGATCAGACCAAGAACCAAGATCTGCTTTTGTTCCATCAATTTATCTAAAGCCTGTACCGTTTCTCAAAGTTCTGTAAAGCTCAGTGTTTATATACTTTGCTTTATCAAGTAAAAGAATGCTCAGAAACCACTAAAAGTTCTCTCAAAATTCACCTTTACGTACTAGGTTTTCATTAGATCAAAATTTTTAGAGCCAGCCCTAAAGAGTGACTATAGAAAAATAAGGAACTTTGTACTATTTAACTTCTATTTACAAAAGCCAGCTATTGCGAACTTATCTTAGCATGGATAAGAGTGCTTGTAAATGTAAAAAAAAAGTGTACTAAACCAATTCATTTTTAAATATGAAGATACATTTAAACCAGCAAGGAATCATGGGGTGTATGTGCATGTGCCAAATGAATAAAAAAATCAATAGTGTGACACTATTCACCTCTGGGATGACATTAATACCTTATAGTTCATATAATGCTGAGCTCTGTGATCTACTGCTGTAGTGCAATATACGGTAATGCTGAGCTTCAGACCAGGTGATTTATGTGCAAGAAGAAATATTTTAAAATCTATGTTGCATAGGAAAGTCTAAGGAGGACTATCCTAGTTGGCAGGCTGCACTGCACACTTAATGGTGCATGTCCTCCAACGCCATTTTCATCTTCCCAGTCCAGGATACTATTAGAGGTAAGGTCCTCTTCCTTCTTTACAGCTGATAGTATCCTTGGACACATAATTATCATTAAGCATATGAGAGAAAATCTTATTTTTAAATGCTTTGTAAAAGGTCAGAGCTCTTAGAGGCAGGAACTTTGCTGCCTGCAGTGCACATGTAGCCTAGGAGCAGTGGGAGATTCAACCACAGGCCTCCTGAGTCCTAGTTCAATGCTCTATCTATCACACTACACCGATGTCTGTTTCTAAATTATAGGACAACTTTACAGCACTAGCAGTAAGAAAATTAGGAATTATTTTTCTAATCTAGATACATGTGTCAGCAACCAAGAGGTTTTTCTAGCTTAAATGATATTTTTTTTAAATAAAATGCCGGTGTCTGTACTTTTGGAATTCTGCCTTAATTTATTCAGATCAAATATTTCTTTCTTTATACACATGGGCCCACATCCTTTTAATCTAGTTACACTGATGCAGCACAAATGGTGTAACTTTTGGAGACAAATTACCTCAAGTTACGTAAGAAATCACCACAAACATTATCAGTTGCATGCTGATTTGTATGACTCAGTGTGCAACTGATAATATCTCCAAGGATTTTTTTTTAATATGGAGCAATGTGCCTCCAAAAGTTACATTATTTGCATAGCCATGCAAGATGATTTCGGCTACCATGTTTTAGGAATATAAATGGCAGTTGACCCCAAACAATAAACATGATTGTTACACTACTTTTTTGTACACTTTATTTGCATTTAAAGGATCATATTCTCTATTGTACATTTTAAGAACTGTTATACATCCTATGGGTATGAAAACAAGAAATGATGTTATCAGTATTTATGCCATGGGCAGATTATGTGATACTTACAACTACAACAATCACAATGGGTCCTGCAAAGCTCCAAATCAGAGTGTCATGAACGGAGAGCCAACAAAAATCAGGATTCCCATACCCCTGTGGATCCAGGCCCACCGCAAGCCCTGCATCATGACACAAACACAGAAAGGAACTCTGATGTGTGAAGTCCATCAATAAGGCCAAGGTTCACATTCAGTCTCTATTCAAAGACTAGTGCACAACCATTGCATAAAAGAAATGGTCTCTCCCTCTTAAGACCCTCACCATTCAGAAAAACAGACTATACAGAAGGATGGAAGGTTCAGTCTATCTTGAGCCGACTACCTGAGCCCATCGGGACTGAACTCAAGTTTGTAAACAGAGTCTTGACTGCAGTACTGCAATTTAACCATTGCACCACAACTGATTATAAACATTTCAACCTCATAAACATTTCACTAAATGAAAAAGAGGCAAATTCTGCCTTTTAAGTTTGAATTTCATCTATTATGAAATAGGTGCATGATATTCCCTAATAGAATTTTGGCCACTGAGATCAATGGGATAAGTTATTTATCATAATTCATGCAAGTCTTATTGATTTCAATGAGTTCTACACTATAATGCTCTAACATTATAATCTGCTTTTTATTTTATTTATTTTTAAGCTTGTTCTGAGATGATTTAAGTTTGTCATTTGGGACAAACAGTGGGATACAAATGAAGTAGGTAAACAAAGTATTTTGCTACAACAAGTCTGAAAGAATCCAACAGGAATGCTGATGCAGGAATCTCACACCAGACTGTCAAAGTGTCTCTTGCTATGTGTTTTAGTATCTTGCAGACCTAAATAGGTGTACCTGCCTGGCTGAGGATAGTTCTCATCTATGAAGAGACTGATAACTAAAACTTCAGTATCAACTCATGAGAATAAATATAGCAAATGTAATTAGAGAAATCTGGAAGACCTGCCAGATAATTTTTTGGTGACTATTTAAAATTATTCCAGGTTTTTTGTTGTTGTTCTATGAGGTTTCAACTTTGACATGGAGAAATCTCCAAAAACTCTTGAAGCTAGACTAAAGACTTTTCAAAAGAAGCAAAGAGACACATACATTTTGTTTACCTTTCTGGTGCAGAGAATTCATTTCTGAGTATTGGCACAGTTTATATAATAGGATGGCTGACAAGTAACCTGCTTTTCCTAGCTTTTAGTTAACTTTTCTCAAAGAATGGTTTCTGCAGAGAAACGAATCCAGTGGAGAACAGCACTATCACTACTCAGGTATCGTTTACACAAGCCTTTTCCAACCCAAAGCCCTCCAGGTGTGTTAGACAACAACCTCCACCACCCACCACCAGCACAGCCACAGCAAAGAATGCTACTTGGATGCTGTCATAGATATTTGTCAGAGTAAACATCGTAAGCGTTTTCATGCTTTGACAACCTCCTGCCTTTGCTTCTGCCAAAACCTGTATCCACACCTGGATACCACAATATTTGAATCTATAACTGCAAAGAATAATTTGAGGAGGTTTTCTTTTCCTGTTGTGTGAATATGTCATTTTGTTTTGGTATGTATGTGTAAAATATATACCCTTATTGCTTTACAAAGTTCAGGGCAAAGTTTGGGATCACTGCTAAGCTTATACTGCAGCTATATTAACAGAACAGTGTGTTGTTTTCCAAGACACATACTTCTGAACTTTAAAACGCCTGGCTTCCTGGGAAATCATGCATGACTCATAATAAGCTGTCAGCACACTTTATTCTCCACTCTACTCTGAGTCACAGTACTGCTTATGATCTGAAACAAATGTCCTATTTTTCATTATCAGTTATTGTGCAGACATGTATGAGGACAGAGACTGGCTAAGTTCTAAATCTGCATGCATTAGAGAAGCAATTAAACATAAATTTTAAACATACAGAATAAGCTGGAGCTGAAAAGTGAAGATGCAAATACTGTATTACATTGGAACCAGGGCTTGGGCAGAATTGAAAAGTGAAGATGCAAATATTACATTGGAACCAGGGCTTGGGCAGAACTCCCCCCAAATCTAAGTGGCTTCACTGTACATGTTTTTGCATGTCCTTATTACAGAAAGTGTATCTGTCAGAGGCAGAAACTTCTAACAGTACTCCTACCTGTGCATTTAGTATCATTAACCATTGCTATATACCTTGCTCTGTCGAGTTTCCATGTGTTCACATACTTTGCTACATAAAAGGAACTACTGTCATCTTGTCATGAAGAACTGGTTTGGAAGCAACGATTCCCTCGCTTGGATGCTAGGTGTTCTTTAACTGCAACTCCCAGAAGCCCTAGCTAACTCAGATGATTTGCACAGACCATAAGCAAAATTTTTGTATTCAAAAGTAGTCTACCAAGAAAGCTTTGATTCGATAAGTCTAGCACATAATCACTGCTGCCTTTTGCACTTTGAATTTGAAACCAACCAACAAAAAGAGCCGCTAGGAGCCAATAGTGAAGGAACACTGTGAATCTCACTGTTTATTTCAGAAGTGACAACATAAGTAAAAAAATATATATATAACACTACTACTGTAATGAGTCAAAAGTTTTGATTTGTCACATTAATAGTAATGAATTAATTTTCCATTTTCTAACGTTTAACAAAAACTAACTTTTAAATTAAACTTTCTGACTGCTGACAGAATTGCAGTTCTAGCTGATTAACAAATTATAACATATTGACTAATTAGAAATATATTCCTGATAAATACCTACAAAAAAGCACAGGTGCCAGGTGAGGAGATACGTAGATATTTGTCCCCCCAGCACAAAGAAAGATACCTCTTGTAAGGAACTATCTTCCTGCTTCACGAAGTGTACTATCTTAAACAGAAAAAACACTGTACTACAGCTTCATTCATATAGTCATGTTATGATGCTTTACAATGCAATCCTGCATATGTCTGCACAGAAATGAGGATCACTGGGTTCAGTGGGATTTATTAACAGGTACAAGGACACAGGATTACAGCTTTATTTGATTAAAACTCATATAATTAAATGACCACAATTGTTTTAATGAGTGTTGATCCTACTAATTTAGTAGATTTGAGCCTGTGGTGCATGAGCACTTAATGTCTTTGATAATGGCTATTTTCTATTAACAGAAACAATAAAAAAACCAAGCAGAACCCATCTCACACAGATTTAATTTGAACGATCTCACATTTTGCTTTCAGCAGTTCTGAATGTGTGAAAAAGTCCTGCTGGAAATGGACCTTTTCTCAGGCTTATGAAAAGTGGGTACAGGATCGCTGGCATTTCCAGCAACAGCACAGAACACAGGGAGGCAACTTGAACCCACCAGATGTTTGTGACACTCAGCTACCTTCAGCTCTAACCAGCATGGCCCATGGCGAAGGATTCTGCAAGTGGAGTCCAACAAGCACTGCAGAATGAAAGTACTACAGAACGGGGGGCTCTGCATATCTGTCTTAAGCAGTGGGCATTTCAGTACTCACATAGGACACTCAAGAGAGAGGCAGCCCTTTGCGTCCTCTCGTTTCTTTCCCTACTGCTACTCTGAAAAATCATTCCTGAAAACACCAGAGATCCTCTCTTCCCTGTTGCTCCCCCAATGGCAATACTGGTCTTGGAAACATATCCTTTGCTTTCCTCATGGATGGGATGAAGTGTGGTTAGAAGGACAGGCAGGTGGACAAAAGCAGTATTCTCTGTTAGAATAGTAGAGAGCAGGAGGAGGCAAGACAGCAGAGGATGAGACAAGAAGGGAGGGAGGTACGAAATGCTCATATGTGTTAGGGAAGCAACTGGCATTGCCATGTTTCTTGCCGCCTTCACTTGCCTCCTTCCACTCTTCCACAGAAACATCCCACACACTGAAAATGGTGCTTTAGAGTTAACCCCACCACAAAACCAAGCCTAGTCAAGAGCCCCTTCTCTCTTCCCATTTCTGTTTGGCTGCGGATCAAACTAGATTATATGTTTTGCCCCTGTGCAGAAACAATCTGCTTCCTTAAGATACACAAAATGTCTGTTGTTTCCATCAGGAGTTTCCCTCACTTCCAATATCTTGTATTCCAGTACGTTCAGCTTTATGATGGGTCATTGGAATTTTAACAGAAGTTTCATTGAGACATTTATTTCTGAGGAAACTGTATTGTGGGACGAAGAATGGGCTAATTAAAGATAATGTGCATTTCCCTTAATATCTTGTTTGATGCTAAGATAATATTTCTACATCTGCAAATAAAACACAGAGTATCTCTGCCTCTATACCTGCTCAGAATTTACAAAACATTACAACTCATTATAAAATAATTATAACAGAAAGAATGAGATTATTCCGTCTTCAAACGTGTTCTTGGTGTTGTCTTGGCTTATTGTTTTTAGTATGGTATTTGTTTGGTCTTTTTTAGTTTTTGTATGCTTACTATTTTTAGCTTTAAATAAATATGGTCTTTTCGTGATGTAAGCTGCCTTGGGTTCTTTTCAAGGAGAAAGGTGTGGTAAACAAACAAACAAACAAATCTTGTTTCAATTTTAATTTAGTTCTGTTCATGTCCTGCAATTCCTATAGAAATTGCTTTAATTAGGGAAAGAAACATAATTATCTTCCTTCCTTCCTTCCTTTGGTCTATGAGTCAACATCTGGATGTATGATTGGTTAGTATATGGCTGAAGATACAGCCATTTCTAAAACTAGGTCTATTATGGAAAAAGGAAAGGTATTTATGGTGGATCTCTCTATATAAGGCAATTATGATCCGTCAGGTTATCTCTAACACAGAACATCCAGCTCCATTAGCAAAAAGCAGTCCCCAGGATTCTCCAGTAAGTAATCATGACAATTTTGGGGGTTACTAGTAAACCTGTGTAGATATGCCCATAATCTTCCACTTCTTCTCCACTGTTTTCTGCCTGTTTGCCCACCCTGTCCATCCACCCTTACCTGTTATAATGGCAGGAATTCCCCAGCCCATGACATAGTAGAACCTCATGTGTCCAAAATTGATGTTTCTCACTTCAGTCAGCATACGGTAGATATGAAGCTGTTCAACGAACATCCAAGCAAATGTGCTCATGTAGAAGTAATGCAAAAGAATGGCTATCACGGTGCAAACAAACTAGAAAAACAAAGAGCTCAACTCAATTAGTATTGTTTCTGCTGAACCAGAAAACATTCTAGCACAACAGACAGAATTTTCTTTAGATATAAGCAAATGTTACAGTCCAAACCTGAAGACCTTGCCATGTGCAAAGAAGGCCTTGCCTTTTCTCCTTTGGTACAACTGACTGCTATTCGATATTACATAATTTAAGAAAAGACTTGATGGAGCAGACCAAAGACCTATTGAGTGCAGTACCCTATTTCTAAAAACAGGCAACTAGATGCTTCTGGTAAGCCTAGATGAAGGGCATAAGGACTACAGTCCTCTCCAGTGTTTTTCTCCAACTGGCATCCAGAAGCACACTACATCTAATCCTGCAGCTAAAAATTAAGCCATCACGCCTGTTTTGGAAACTTCAATATTTCTCCAAGTCTGGTAGTATTTCTTAGGGCACACTTGCAAAACCTATGACTCACCCAGTAGCCAACCAGGAACCTCTCCTCTTACTGTTTCTCCCATGCTTTTCTCCTCCATTGCAGCTATGGCAAGGAGATCTAAAGTTTTCACATTTGCTTTTAACTTCCATCAATTTTAAGGTTCATCTGAAACCAGACAAACTGAAGTAAGTTGTAACTAACAGACCTACATAAAACTGAAGTAGGAAACTGCTTTGTTCCAATAAACCAGAGTCAAAACCTATTCATCACAGTTGATGGTTTGGAAGTAACTCTAAATTGTGGCTATTGGAAAACATGGATGAAACCTACCATATTTTTCTGTGTATAAGACACCCCCGTGTATAAGACACCTCCCTTTTCTAACCCAAAATTTCTTTCTTTGCAAGAAAGTGGAGGGAGGGAAGTAATTCCTGCTTTCCCTCTACATTCTCATTGCAAAAATCAGCTTTCCCCCTCCACGTTTTGTGAAGAAAATGAGAGGGGAAAAGCAATTTCTGCTCTCTCCCTCCATTTTCTTTGCAAAACATCTTCCCACCTCCATTTTCTTTGCAAAATGTGGAGGGGGAAAGCTTCTTTTTGCAACAAAAGTGTAGGGGGAAAGCAGAAATTGCTTCCCTCCTCCATTTTCTTTGCAAAACATGGAGGGGAAAAGCTTCTTTTTGCAACAAAAATGAAGGGGGAAAGCAGAAATCGCTTTCCCCCTCCATTTTCTTACCAAAATAAGGAGGGGAAAGCAGGGATCAAAGTGGCTTAATCCCTCCCCACCTTACTTCCGAGTATAAAATGACACTCAATTTTTCCTTTAATTATTTTAGGAAAAAGTGACATTTTATACATGGAAAAATACGGTAATCATATTTCTGAGGTCATACCAGAAGTACAAAATACAAATCCTTCTATCTCATGGCTTGCTAATGCTTGTTCCCAAAATGAAACATCAGTTTATTTTTCTGTCCAAATGCCTCCTGCACAAGACCACTAAGGAAGGGTGAGCAGGTTGCTATTAAGTCTTCTAATAGAATCAAGGCATACATTGTGTGGTTGACCTTCCCCAGTAACTGTATGGACTACCCTCCTGTTTGCAAAACAGGATTTGGGGTGCTGTGGCACTTTAAGCTCCCTTCCCAAGTTTTCACCCATCTTAATGCAACTGTGAGGGATTTTTTAAAAGGCTTCTCAAAATGTTTACTTTGCATAATGATGAAAACTGCTTATTTCGGGCATACAACAAAGAAAGTTAGTCATTTTGGTCTATCTATCATCCACGGATGACTGAAACCTCTCCCTGCTGTGTGACTGCTGCTTTACAAAAGAATATAAAAGCTGAAGAATGCCAGGAAACTCTGTTTCATCTGTGCTCCCACATTCTTTGACTTTTCATGCTCATTAATGTGTGACTCCCTGGATAATTTTTATTGTACAAGGAAAGATTACTAATAGTTTAAAACACATGCAAGAGCTGACATCTCTTAGCAGTCATTTCAAGGAGCGACCCTTTACTATGGAATACTTCAGTTTGTTAAATCGTTTAACAAATAATTTAAGGTATAAGATTGTGTAATGCATTCTGGTCAAATAACTGTGAAGATTTCTTTTTTAGGTTGGTACTTTCATGCCAATATTAAAGAAACTTGTTTGTGAAAACCCTAGGAAGTGTCAGTGTGAGTAATTCTCCATTATTTGCTGAAAAAGAATGATTGACATAATTTTAAAAAGACAATTAAATGAAAAGTGAATGCATCATCTAAAGTCTTCTGGAACTAATCTGAAAGCCCTAAACACAAATTCATTTCCTTATGTTAGTAATGGAGCCTTCATTTGTTAAAGGAAAGACAAAGTTAAAGAGAAAGTAAACACAGAAATATTTTCACAGTAAAATCTCCTTTTAGGTACTAAGCCATCTCATGAGGTGGGAAAACTTGCTATGTGCACACCTACTGCTATGCTAGATTATCAATCTTCCATGCATATTCTAGGGAATATTTATCCTAATTTTATATATATGATGGCAGAACAAATGCTTATATTCATGAATAGACACCAGCGGTGATGATGACACCAGCATTTTTTCTTTCTCCCAAACACAAACGTCAGAAGCCTAGGAAGAAGCTCCAGCCTGGACAGCTACAGCAGCCATCAACTCTGCTCCACCTGCCAGCGTTTGTCTGGGGTCTTTGCTCTTCAACAGGCTGACTGTACAGCACAGGTCAGAAGGTATTTTAAGAATGATGGCAGGTGTTGTGGACCTGCTCCTCCTTTCAGCATTAGGGGCTTGAAAGAGAGAAAAAAAGAACCTGGTCCAGCATCTGCCTTCCACTAAAATGCAAATACTGTATCTACATGGCTTTTTGTGTGTATTTTTCCTCTAAAGAATCTAGTGATAAAAAGGTACCACTAGAAAGCTATGGTAGTTTTTTTCCCTTGCTCTTAGAGCAGCACACTCGTACAACTTGGTGAGTTCAGGAGGGATGGGGCATGAAGGCAGACTGTGGAGGGACTGCAAGAGGGGTGCTGGGGGGGGGATTGAAGTCACATTCCCTAGAGCCCCCCCCCCAAAATATGGGGCCTAGCAATATCACTTTTGTTCAATGGGAATGTTTTCCAAATAAGTATGCAGAGCAGTGCAGCTATAGTTGATGAAGGTTGTACCATGTGTGCTGTATAAATGTCTGAATCAGCTGTGGTGCTGGTGTGGTAATAAGTGTTTGCATTAGTAATAAGCAAGGTCCAAGGGTCTGGAGGGCCTTTTTAAAGCCTTGAAAACCTTTTGAGGTTGCTCTATTCCCTTCAACTGAAATTGGAAGTGACCCGATTTCTCTTTTTTTTCTGCAAGATTGTGTTTTAGAGGAGTCATTCTTCCATTTTTTTAAAAAAATTGTCAACTTGGATTTTGAAAAAAGAAAATAAAAGAAATTCTGCTGAGGCTTGTTGTTGTTGAGACTCCAAGAACAACAAAAATGCCCGGGGGGGGGCTATGGGGTTCCTAATCCTTGTCTATACTGTCAGTGTCAGGTCCCCTACTTAAAACTCATGAATCAACCATGATTCTCTTTTGCCCATGTTGTGCTAAATTACAACAGGCCCTGATCAGGATTGGCAGGAATGCAGGAACGCAGGATCAGCCTCTGGGGATGGCTTCATTGTTGTTGTTCTGGTTAAATGCAGAAAAGCAGTGCAAAAACAAAACAATTAACTCTTACCAGATTTTCTGTTTGGTTGATTCCTATCAGGAAGACCAGTTCCGAGAAGAACAAAGCAGCCACCAGGTTTTTGTGGATGCTGTGCAAGTTGGAACGCAATGTTCGGATCAAGACAAGAAGTATAAAGGTGAGCAACAATGCCACTAGTGAGATGGAGACGGTCGTGTAAGTAATAATCTTCAGAGGAAGTGCCTCACCATTCTGTGAAGTACAGGAATAATTACTTTTTTACCACATTCCATTCTCAAGTATTTTTTTTAAAAGACAAAATTACTCTCTTAGTCACTGAATGAGTTTGACAAAAGAGTGTGGGGAAAGCAATGTAAAAAGGGGGGGGAATGGCAGTGACTCACCCTCCAGAGCAGGATAAAAATGCCTCAGAAACAAGACTTTAAAAGATGTCAAGTACTATCAACTGATGTGGAGGATTAAAATAATAATGATAATAATAATAAAGAAAACCACAATTAAAATGGATTTCAAACCACTTAACTAGTTTTTACTTCCCCCACCTCCAGATGTATAGCTTTATGTGGTGTATCTGTTGATCAGGAGAGCATTTTATGCCAAAAGGAAAACCCTTATGATTAGTATACCTAAATTATCCTTTTATGACTGAGCCTTTTTGAAAGGGTAGTAATGCAACCTTTTACAAATATAATCCCATGTGGTGAAGACAATGGCATTCATGAGCATAACCTGCAGTCTCTCATAAACACCACGGCACTTGCCTACAGCTATCCTGCCCTGCATTCAGAGTTTCGTGAGGAATCTGATGCCTGAGCCAGAATAATGTTTAGAGCAAATTTTGTATTCACTGCAACTGTTTTTACTTCTCAGTGAAAGAGGTCTTCACAGTTTCACAGGGGGCAGTGAAAGGGAATAAGGAGCTGACTCCTCCTTCTTCTCTATATAATGGCAGAGGCTACTCACAGGAGCATAATGCATTATACTGTGAAGATCAAGCCAGCTTTCAGGGTCATGTTGAATTTACTCTGGGGTGCTTTGGGCCTCAACCCATTTTGTCTCATCGGTTATACTAGAATGATAAAAAATCCCCCATACGAACTAGATGTGAGGCACACACATGCCTAATACTTTACTGTATGGACCTCCAGATGTTTTTGGATTGTAACTCCCACTCTGAGAACACAAGGTGCTATACTGGACCAGAGAAAACACTTACCTAGTCCAACATTTTATTTATACAATAGCTGAACAGCTCCCTATGGGGTGCCCTCTAGCAAGACAGAACTGTAACTGCAGCCTCTGTCTCATATTCTCCAGCAACAGGCATGAGTTGAAATATGGTTGTCCTGATTAATAGCCACTGATGGCTTTAACCTGCATACATTCATGCAGTTTCCTTTTGAAATCATGAAAGCTGAACAGCCCTTGATAAATCTTGTAGCAGAGCATCCCACAGTTTAGCTTATATGTTACCTGAAGAAATACTACTATTTTGGACCTTCTACTGCTCAGCTTCAGTGGATCACCTTTATTGCAAGTATTATGAATAAGAGAGACATGCTTCTCCCTGCTGACTTACTCCACAGCACTGTACCTTTATACACCACTATTATGTCTCCTATTACTCACTTTTTCTCTAAGCAAACAGCCTAAAATATTATAAGTCTTCCTAGTAAGGGTGGGAAGGTCCTCAAGGGTGGGAAGATCCTCAAGGGTGGGAAGGTCATCATGGGTGGGAGGGTCCACCACCATAGCCAATGGTGAGAAATTGTGGGAAATTGCCATCCAAAAACATCTGGAGGGTTGTACTTTGCTCACTCTTGCTTTACAGCAACATAGAGACAATAAGTACCACATAAATAAGGTGGAGCAGTTTGAAGTACTCATTTTGTATTGGCAAGCCTTTCTTTGTGACTCTAGCCATCCAACTAGATGAGTTTTAGAGACAAATTTTTCAGGAGAACAATGAACTCATTCATAAGAATGTGGAGGTGAGGTCATTCCCTGGAGATTTCCATAGCAAGTGAGAGCAAAACAAATGAACAAAATCCCATCTGGTAGGTGAAATAGGTAGTGGTATCAGAGTGCACTAATCTGACAAACTTTCAAGGCAAAATCAAGACACAAGGGGGGGGGGAATATCACATTTAATTACTTTCATCAGACCCTCTTTATTTTGCCTCAGCAGCCTGCAACAAAATCAGAAAGGAGTCACTTACTTCACGTTTTGAAATATCCATTAGGACAGCAAAACTGGTCATGTGGTTGCATTGACAAACAATATGCCTCTGGCTTCTAGAAAACAACTCACATCCCTTTGTGGACCAGCCTCCTGTTTCTCCAATTCTAGTGAGTGAGAGAAAGGGAAGGAAACAAGGTTCAGTCACATTAGTCGTCTGACCAGCTAACAGATTAAACGGGCTAGTCCTCAAAAACAAGGAAACAAATCAACAAGCAGCTCTGTAATAGGTCAAAGCTAGTCACTATTTAGACTAGTGCAAGGTCTTTGCTTCTTTAAACCTTGCCTCAACATGACAAATGATCAGATTATATATAGGTAGCTTAAATAACCCATTATTACTATTTTACGAGACAACTGTTTCTTTGATCTTCAAGCACTATTGAATCTTCTCCTGGTTAGAAAGCTTTGCTAAAACCCTATTATTATAAGTCTCATTATTTGAGATGGTGTATATTCTTACATACATATATTGACTGTAGCAATGTTTAGTTAACATAGCATAAGTTTCACATAGCATAGCCTATGTTTCACATACCTCCAAACATAGCATAAAATTGCATTTTCTACCCACACTTTGAAGCATTATATATTTCTTTCATATAGCCATATTTTTTGCATATTAGAAGTGTAAGTCACAAACTAGACAAAATTAAATGTCCAAAATCTTTCGGATTTCTATTCGAGGATTAAGTATATGCTTAAATTAAATAATTAATTTTCCACTGAATTTAAAGTGCTTAACTATGTCATAATTAGGATTTTCTCTTATTTATGGTGCCATGGCTGCTCTTTTCAATCAATCCCATGCTGCTAGAAGACTTTCTAAAAATCAGGCTCCAGAATACTTACCACCAACTAGCTGCCTATCTAGTAACAGACCTGTAGATATATCTCTGATAGTAAGTGAAATTGTTACCCTGATCCTCCATCTCTTACTCCATTCTCAAAATAGGTTTCCACAAAGCTAAGTTAATTATCTGACATCTACAGTCTTGCATTCATATGGTTTGCCGTTACATCATGATCAGTAAAGATACAGGAGAAACCTCAACCTAAGGTAAATGTATTATATGGATGGCTTTGCAACGTGACAGTCAGGTTCTTTGCGAGAAACCTGAACATAAGGGCAATTGTGGGGGAATTACATGCCCTTTGCATGACTAGTCACATACTGATTGCAAAACAGAGTGTGCAACCAGTTGTGTTACTCATCCTACAAAGGATAGCCAAGCAGTGGTGGAGGAGATTGCTTATGTAACTGTCCTTGCATGCATGGAAATTCTTAAGGGGATACTGGCCAATGAAAAAAATGATGGGCAGAAAGCATGGACTATTCCTTACTGAAAGAAAATTGAATAATGGGAGCATCAACAAACTAAGGCTGTGTTGGATTTGGTCAATGTGAATATGAGCTCGTGCTGACACATGTAACTACAGATGCCATAAGCTTTTTATGGAAGCATATTTTTTCATTGTGATCAAATCTTCAGATTAACAAATGAGTAGTTTTTATTTGTATGAGCCTAGAAGATAGAGTGAAAAGAAGCCAGAGGTTTCATTTAAACAATTTTCTTTTCACTCAAGGCATATACTGTAGTTCCAATTTTTCACTGCAGAAAATGAAGTTAATCAATGACAGAAACAGCAAGTTGCTGATAATGAACAGAACTGCCTGTAGGTCATGTTGCTGCTTCTTCAAAATAACTTCACAGTGCACAAGCCTTTCTGCGCTCCTTTAAATTCAAATCATCTCACTTTAAGAAGACATTTCCCCCCCCCAGCTAAATGTCCTCCTTTTATTAGAGCCAGTTCATTAGAGCTTGAGCAAATGTGCAATATGTAATGAGCAATAGCAACCACCATCTCTCTCTCTCTCTCATATTACTGAGAAATTCTATCTATCTGAAAAGCTGATTAAAAATTGATATTTCCTGCTAGGCAATGACAGCCCATATAACGGGTGTCCTCTTTATCAAATTACTGAATGAATAAGGCCATACTATCACCATTGCCATTAAAATGTCTATATGCAAAAACAACTCTTTTTTAGATAGTCAATATTCAGAAACATACACAATTGAGTGGTTCCAGAAGACACAAACTGGCTTTGTTCTCTCTTCAGTTTCCAGCATGACATGGTCAACTGTGATGGGGCTCTCCAGAAAATTGGGCAAAGATTCTCCATCTCTATAAACTATTGTACTGACTATTGGAGTGTTAATGATGGGCCGATTGGGTAATCTGGAAGAATAAAATAAAATTATTGTTACTGATGTGCAAATATATACTAGCTTGCTCAGCTTCAGTGAGCCGAATTGGATCAAGAATCTGTTTTCATCTAGAGCAATAGTTCTGCTTAAATAAGGTCTCCTTGCCTGATTCTGGGATAACCTACACTTCCTACATAATATATGTAATGTACATCATTCAGCAGAGCTTCCTGACACTGGCAGAAATACTGCACATTAAAAAACAGAAATGAAAAACCCACAAAACAGCACATCCATAACCTCAAACACAACACTTTTCAACTAAGCAATTTCATAAATTCAACTGTGACGGAACTCTAGCCAGTTTTCATGGTAACCACAGAAACAAGGCAATTGGCTGGGGAGATGCAGGAGGTGAGCCTATCCAGGACAGCCTAAAGGAGGAGGCGCCAGAAAAGCTGGAGAGAAGGAGAAGTTAGTTTGTAACAGAGGAGGAAGGTTGTGTATTTTGGCAGTTGGGTTGCAACTCAAGACAATCTTATGTTGAACTATGTTTTCCTTATCAGTTGTTACTCTGTAATAATAAACATATCATTTTTTTCCTATCTTTAACTACTTGGTCTAGTATAGGGGTTCCCAAATCCCAGTCCGTGACCTGGCAGCGGTCCTCGGCCTCAGCAAGACTGGGCCGCGGACACAGATCTCCTGCCCCCCGCGAGCGCCGCTGCACACAAGCGTGCTCCACCCCCTGCGAGTGCACCACACGCATGCGTGCAAGCACCCCCGCAAGCATCGCACTCCGCCCCTGAGTGCACTGCACGCATGCACACAAGCGTGCTCCACCCCCCCTGCTGGCGAGTGCCGCTGCACACAAGCGTGCTCCACCCCCCCTGCTAGTGCACCACACCCCCGTGAGCATGCCATGCCCCCCCATGCCAGCATGCCATGCCCTCCCCAGCTGGTCTGTGCTTGGGAAAAGTTTGGGGACCACTGGTCTAGTATGTTTATGGCTGGAGTCAAGCACTTTAAAGGAAGGTCATTTTAAAATGTGGCAAGCCTGGGCTGAGGCTGGTCACATCAGCAAATAACAGGAAATTAAAGAATGTCCAGGCACACATGAACTGGCCCTAGAAACTCAATATTTCTCAGCATATGGAGTTCCCATTTTACTACAGATTAGAGTCTAATCTAGAGAAAGATGAAGTCATATGAAAAAGTAATTTTTTCACAACTGTAGGATTAAAATTCAATGTAACATATGTGCTTTGTTCTCTGGTAGCAGAGCATTCAGTTCTCAGAACACAACAAACAAGATTCACCAAAAAGCAAGTTGAAAATGAGAAGTAATATATGCAAATTTTACCTTAAGCTCCGTCGATCAGGATCGTAGCTTTCAGGTAGAAACTGCCCTAGAGTTCGGTATATAATCACCATGGCAACTGCATATTGGTTAGACTCCTCTGGATGCCGTCGTTTCCTTTTTGCAAGTATATTTTTGCTCTTAAAGATCTCATCTTCCAGTTTAGGAGACAACCTGTGGTTTGGAGGCTTCACCGTAGGAACAACTAAAGATAAAATCAATATAAAATGTTGTTTTGCTATCTAGGGGTTTGAATTGCCATTTAAATTTTTTAAAAATAATAAATTACGAATTTTCAAAACATGAGATAAATTTTAAACAACACACTTTTCTTTATGTTATAAACATTTTAGCTTTTTTAATGGCAAAAGTTACTGGGGAAAAAATCTCTTCACATATCAGAAGAATGGCCATGGTGATATCCGTGCTAAAGCTGGACCAAAGCGTTCCAATTCAACATTGTGGTGTCAATCACTGCGTGGATGGTAAAATTTGCTTCTTGTCAAAAGCAAGAGAGAAAAGACAACTTTATAGTTTATAAAGTGGCCCGGCATACATTTGTTATTAACACTTAATAACACCTGTTATTAAGCATATGTTTGCTTAATAACAAAATTCAGAGCTGCAGCAGCTCAGCTTAGCTGGATTGCCTCGGTGGTTTAGGCATCTAGTTGTGGAGCCAGAGGCTGGGAATTCAATTTTCCACTGTGCTTCCAGTGAGCAGAACTAGCCTTTGTGGTCTTGGGCAAGCACGGTGCCAGGGTGCCCCCAGAAAGGGGATGGTAAGCCACTTCTGCATATTCTCTACCTGGAAATTCTGAAAGAGGTCACCATAACTCAATATTGACTTGACAGCAGATGATGATGATGATTACTGCTACTACTACTACTACTACAAACAGGCCAACCATTTTTCATTACAGATTGATTTATAACTATAGAATGTGGCATTTATGGCATTTACTAAGGTTTGTCTAATCAATTCTGGAATGTTCAAATTATCTCTTATTGTGTATCTGAGCAATTTTATCAGAAGTTAGAATTTTTACCTTTTCTGCTAGAAGCTTTGAGCAAAGTATCAGGAAACAAAACAGATGATTCCAAATCTCTGGGATAATCTTTAATCACATCAAATTGTGGTACTTTAGCTCCCGTAAAATTAGACTTTTCAAATATGTCAACAGCAATAACTGAAAAGAGGAAAAGATTTGCCATTACGTATATAGAGAGATATCAGTGTAGGGAAACAGAGAGAGTTCAGATTTTCCACAAACGATTCATACTTTATAAATTGTACAAATTGAACAGAAACTGTGATCTAAAGCCACAGTATACTCAGTTAATCTTAAAATCATAAATCTCAGCATTAAAATTAAATTAAGTTAAATTAAATTAAAAATGAACAAGTAACCTACCCACCTGAATGACTTGTAGCAACACAGTCACTGAAATATTGTTGTGCAGCTCTGTGTGTGGGTGACATAATCACCAGTGGCAATTTGACGCTGATTATAGGCAAACAACCACTGATCAAAGATGGTTCTGGGGGGAACAATCCACTAAGGTCACATACGGCCTGAAATCCTCAAAGGGCAATATGCTACTGGTGCTGACATAATCACCAGTGTGTACAAGGAGTTGCACAACAGGATTTTAGAACCAGTAATCACAATTTATGGTCAGAATACATAGCCAGGATAAATTATTTAAGAGAGAACTCAGTGTCTGTTCTGAAGAGCATGAGACATCATAATAGGCTGTAGATGCAGAATCAAAAATACTTGAGTCTAAAAGATTTATGAATAGCCTGATTCAGTTAAAACTTGTGACTCAAGCAGTTTCTCACCTGATTTAGAACTTGTATCTTAACACATAAATACAATATTGACTGGAGATCTTTTGGTGAGTTTGGCACTACATATAAACAGTGAAAACCATATAATGCAGGTCTAGTTCTCTCCAAAAGTTAGTCACACCCAGAACATGAAATAAATATTACAGATAACTCATTACTTGTAATAAATCATTTCTCCTAATAACAAATGTATACATAAATTACAAAAAAAATACTTAATGAAGAATAATTCCACTCCTTTGGAGGTGTAACTGCAACTTTTAGAAGTTATTTTAAAGTTATGAATATGAGCTCACTGAATGGTAGAGGAGGAATATCACATAGTTTCAGTTTTGTACCCTCTGCTGCTGAACAAAAACATTAAGATGTGTTAAATATATTCGCGAAGGCTTTCACGGCCGGAATCTAATGGTTGTTCTGGGTTTCTCAGGCTCTTTGGCCGTGCTGCTGTCCTCTGAAGATGCCAGCCACAGAGACTGGAGAAACGTTAGGAAGAACAACCTTCAGAACATGACCAAGAAGCCCGAAAAATCCAGAACAACCATTAAGATGTGTTATTTACAAGTTAAATAAAAAGTAAGTATACTAGTTACTTTTGAAAAAAGGGAAAGTTAAGTGTTATTTTTATAAATTAGACTGCTAACAATAGAAAATTGCCTGGTTTTATTAAAAACTGTAACTTTTAATTTAAAAAACCTTTTCATGGAACCTGGGGGTTCACAAATCTATTATTCACCAATTCTATTGCTGGAGGGGTCTCTTTATACTGAACTCGCTCTCCACTATCCTTTAGCCCATTATAGGGCTAATTTCACAAACCTATAGAAATCTCAATGTCCAAAAAAGCCCTACCTATTTTCCTTGAGCTTTTTATAGTTCTCATCTCCCTTTTCTCACAACTCCTGTCAAGTCCTTCAGCAAACGATATCTCCTCTGCACTGGACATTTTTAGAACATAGTTCTTTGCTTAATGAACTCATAAGAGGATAACTCTATTCTTACAGTACACTTTTCTTGTTTCTTTGCCTCTTCCTGCCTTTTTGTATCACAGTACATGGCAGCTCAGCTACAAACACAGGTTTGTGGAAGCGTGGATGTAACTGAAGTGGTGGATAGCCTTTGGCCTTAGAACACCCACTCCCCTTCATCACTGGCAATACAGGCCGGGATTTCTGGGAGTTGCTGTCCAAAACATCTGGAGTGTCAAAGGTTTGCCACTCTTCACAGTTCCAGGATTCCAGCCAGCTACTTAAGGAGAATGAGTGTTAACTATGCATTATGGATAGATGATACTTCAAATCTTTTTGAGCAATCCAGCTTTTTGCCCTGTTTCCCTTTCTGGTTGCCACACATCTATCCTAGCAATGAAGTGTAAAACAATAGTGTGTCCAACAGTTTGGTCCAGCACGCCATAAGCCAGAGTAAAGGAACTTTGTGTCACACTTGTGGATATTTCCGCCAACCCTCACTGTACTTCAGTGAAGCAGGAGAGCAGGACAGAGGCATCATCTATGACATGGTCAAGCCTCCCTCCTGAGGTATACCACATGCCTTGCTGCTCATGCTGCTTTTGGCACCAGATAGTTAAAACATAATTCATTTACTTTTATTAGATTAAAAGAGACTAATTTTTATCCATGTATTGTCATGGATCAAATTGCAGTCACCAAAGGTTAGGCCCCCAGGGGAGAGAAAGCATAGCTTCTCTTTCCTTGATGGTAATTGTCCTTTAAGTTATATCTGGGAAACCTGTAGCCATCTAGATGCCATTTGATTTCAATCTCCATCAAGCACGAACCAGGCTGGCCAACAGTGAGGCAGAATGTGAGTTATAGTTCAACATGAATTTTCCTCTACCATTCAGATTTTCATTTGTTAATGCATGGATTCAACCTTCATATACTTGAAAATGAATGAAAATAGTTCTAAAACAAGAGGCATGTTGTCTTTTTTTTTCTTTTGCCTTTTTAAAGACAATTTGCACAAGTGCTACAGCAACCATCATCTTAGTAGGGACATCCTCTCCTATGTGAAAGGAATTGAGAAATATATTATTTTAGAATGGTGCCTACAAGTGCAGTTTAAAATGTATTTGCATTTAAAATAACAAAATACCATCAAACTAACAACTGCTACACAGTTAATTGTGGGTTCTTTTAAAACTGATTAAAAAGCTTTAAAATTAATTCATCAAAAGACTGAGTCAAGTAACTGCAGGCCTAATTCTTAGGTATTAGGAGGTCACATATGTACAAAGAGATTGTTATTGAGAGAGAGTCACTTACTCAGGTTTGTGGCAACAATAATGAAAGGTTTCATGTAGGTGTTTCTCATATTCTTTGCCACATTGCTGAAATAGTCCTCGTAGTGTTTCAGCAAATGCGCTGTCCCTCCCTCCGTTCTCTGGATGTGTTCCCAATGCTCCTTGGTGCTAGGCTCCAACAGAGCACTCCCTGCTTTTATGATATTCTAAGAAGAAAGGAAAACATGCTATGTACAAAACCTCAGAACAATACTCACTGTTAAACAAACTTAACTGATACCACTGCTTGAAGTAAACATGCAAATTAAATAGTGCACATAAAGCCTCCTGCAGTTTAACTTACATGATGTGGGGGCATTGCTATTTTATTCTGTTTCAGCTGTTTCATGATTAAATAGCAAGCCCATTGTTAGAAGATCACGATACGCTTAAGTACAAGTGGTGGTTTGCGAACGGAAGCAGAAATAATATTCAGCCACCGCTCTAATACGGAGCAGCAAATGAGAGAAACCAAGCTTCAGGCCTGTATAGACTCACAATGGTGATCCACTACCCCTTTCATGGAGTGCCTCCCTGCTAGCCTTGGTGGCAACAGGCATGAACTCTGCTCTACATCACCTCCTTAGTCATCACAGATAATCCAAAGCTGACTGCTATGAGAGGAACGGCCAGGCTCTGGATTTCTGTTCTTTTGGAGCCTGATCCAATCCAAATCAGAACTCAAAGAGGCTACTTTTTGGAGACTCTAATGTCCAGAATCCCTTGGCCAGCTTGGACCAAGGTTGTGATGGGGCCATTCCAGGCGCTGAAGTCCAAATAAATTAAAGTTACAATGTGCACATTAGAAATGTTATCCCAAGTGGGCATGCAAGATAATGAGTGGTGTCTCTTCATAAAAGCTACACAACTCTAGCCATGGGTAGAGCAAAGTAGCAATACTGCACACTACTAAAGTACTTTACAGAGGTGCTTTTTTGCTTGCTTTAACATGTAAGTTGTAATATTTTGCTTCGTTCTGCCCAAAAGTATAAGTTGCATTGCCAGAAAACAAACTGTTCCTCTAATGTTTATAAAACAAAACTGCTTTTATTTATCATCTTGTCCATTTGGACAATCTCTCTTTTACCAAGGTGAGACTAGAAGCAAATGCGTTTCATTAAAAAGTTAAAAACTACTTCAACTAAGCATATGAAAATTAAATGAAAAGTTGAGATGCACATTGTGAAGTTTATAGTAATGGAGGACTCAGTTATAGCAACATGTAACTGTTCTTCCCCTTTACAAATAAACTCTTTATTTGTCATTTATATATCATTTATTATGTATAAACATGATTCATTATCGTTTATTTGGGAGTGAGTATATGTGTTTAGAACATAGTTATTTTGGAGAATAACCTGAATTAATACTGGTTGGTCTAAAAGAGAATTCTTAGATGCTGTAAATGCAATCTTCATACAGTGCAGTCTATCAGCAGTGCTCAAAAAACCCAACTTTCATTCATACTTTTCCCCACTTCATTTATGCAGAACGTAATTGATTATTCTTTTCAATTTCTGTGTTGGACGTGTATCAATGCTTTGTTATGCATTTTAACCAGAAACCACACAGTGCAGGATTAATCAAACACCTTTTTTGTTTGATTTTGTTTTGGCAATAACATAAACATTCCACTACCATACAATCTCAGAAGAAAAATCCACTATATGTTTATACCTGAAAGTTTCAAAACTCTTGCTGTTTTTCAGCTTTCATCACATACATAGAACTGTAACCATGATATGAAAAATCCTTGGCTCTGTAAGGTAACAGAGATTTTTCCACCTCTGTTTATCTCAAGCGGAGTACTTCATGAAAGGTATTTCTATTCTGCAAGGAGGTTATTTAGGGATTTCACAACGCATGCATTCAATACACCCTGTGCCTACACATGGATCAAGGGCTTAGCACTGGTCTTCCTCTTCTTTAGCAAGACCACAAAAAATGAAAGATGTTATTGCATATGAACATAAGTTACGCAACCTTCATGTCCTCTTTCTGGCTGGCAACTGTGAAGAAGCATGGGCCTTCATTCTGTTCTCATCTGATTCTATATAGGTGGCAACAACCTGTGTGTTCAACTTGTACGTCTGAGGAAGTGGACCTAGGAAAGCTCACACTGAAACCAGTGCCATTCTACATAGGTGGCAACAATCTGTGTGTTCAACTTGTACATCTGAGGAAGCGGACTTAACCTAGGAAAGCTCACACTGAAACCAGTGCTCTATCAAGACGCCACAGCAATTTTACTTTTATTTCTGTTACTCATTTCCGAAACCTGTCCAATGTTTTTTTTTACCTCATTGAACTCCACATCCCTGGTTGCAGCCAAATCAAATCCCTGCTGCTGGCTCTCATACTGCAGCACCCTGATCATCATCTGGTAGGCTGTTCGCAGATCGTTCCCATAGAAAGAGCTTGTGTGGTTTGTTGCATTCTGGAGCACTTTGGCTATCTGCACTGACTTGTCACCATCCAAGCTGGTCTCATTGCGGAGAAGCTTCTCGTTCTGAAGGAAACCAAAAACATACCCACCCCCGCAAAAAGGTCCAAATTTAGCAAATAATGCCATTTTGTCATTGTTAAAACCCCTCATTCTTCTCCACAGCCACAACTCCTTTCCCATGATGCCCGTTTTTGTGCAAACATGCACATGTTCTGAAAGGCTAAAGTGAGCTTCTTTAGGGTTAATTACAGGCAGCAAGAGCTTCAAGATAAAATATACTGCCATTTTTGGGGGGTCCCACCCTTGTGTATTTAGCCCTGCCCACCACTAGAATTTGGCTCCAACAATCTGTATTCAGCCCTCAGTCAGAGCAAGATTTCCTAATCTTGGTAACGGCATATATCTGTACATATGCAACACTCTACACATGGGAACTGAGGGCACTGAAAGGCCAACACCTATGTTCCACCATGTCCAGTACTTGCTAGTTCAATGTAAGACAGGGTAAACCAGTCCTTAGTTGCCTTTGCAAGTTGTGATGCACTTGCAACCCCACACAGAGGAAGTGAGTGAGCAGCAGGAGTTACAATATAATCACACTCTGCAAATTTTCCAATAATACTGGGGAAAGAATTATTGTGGAATGGTTCATACGTCAGTTAACACCACCCTCTTTCAAAGCACCCTGTTCCTACCATGATTTTAAGATCCACAAAGCTGAAGGTAGTACAGTTAAAAAGTTCAGGCGGAAGCCAGCCTTTCTCACTGTTACAATGCCGAACAGCAGTTCCTTAAAAAGAAAATCAATTAGTGAGATATGCAACAGCTGACTGTTGTGTATTTAAATTGCAAGAAAATGTAAAAATTCTAGCATTTTGTTATTTAAAAGAAAAAATATTCCTTACCATCTAAGAAAGAAAATATACTAGGGACATCGTAAAAAATTACAGATCATCTAAGAAGAATTTTTTACCACTAGGCAAAGATTTAGCTGTCAATATTAAATCACTGATACTGTATCACATATCATCAGCCTGAAGAACATGTAATAATGTCAGAGAATAAAAGTAGGAGAATATTCTGACTGTGTTTTCGGAAAGCTTTTAAAAATCTTTCCCTACTCCATTGCAAACAATTCCTTGCAAATAATTCCTTATTTACTGTATTTTTAAAATGCAGTATCTCATTGTGTTAGTTAAACATGCTTTCATAAGGTCGGTGAGAAGTCTAACGGTGTCTGTGTAAGGGCTGCTGTAACTAACTGTGGCTAACTGACAACGTGTAGAGGCCCATGCCAGGTGCCCCGGACACCTCAGCAACTAGCTGCAGTTAGCCACCCCAAGTTATACCAATCTTATGTAAATGCCAGTAGCATTTTGGTCATTCTCTTAACAATTTCATATAGATTAAACATGAATAATATAGTAATCTAGATTAAATTTATTCTAGATTAAATTGTCCATCCTTTTTTTTAAACACACTCTTTATTGTCTGGCTTTGATGATGAACTGTCTTCTGTGCATAAACCAAGCCTTTTGGGGAACTGATGCTTCAATCCCGTTTTAAACATCTTATCGGTTCTACTTACCCACTGATCCTTTTGGACAGGGCACAGCAGCAGGCTGCCCGAATTTTGTTTGCGGCCACCAAATTCCAGCCTCAAATGCTTTGGGACATCCATTATAAACAACTGGTTGAAGAGAAAGAAAATAATTATCCTCTTGGCAGACACTGAACGTAAAGCAGAATAACCTTTGCTTTGCTTAGGACATGGAACAGGAACGTGAGACCAAACTGCAACCCCCTAATTAGCCCAATCAGAACATCAGCAAGGCACACTGTAACCACCCCCTGGCTCAGGACAAATGTTAGCATACTATAATGCTAGAGTATCACAAGTAGTGTTGCTTTGTCCTTGGAAATTAGCAGAACTGAGTATTCATGTTTCATCTTTTTATCAGGAACTTTCACTCTGGCTAAAAACAAAGGATAAAACAGTTGAAAGATTTTATAAAAACTCATTTAAACCAATCAGAATATTTCCCCCCAAAAAAGGTTGTGGCCCCAGCCCCTTCCCTAGGCATTGGGACTGGGGGCACAAGCCCATACCAACACCTCATCCCCAAATGCGTTCTTTGCCTCCAAATATGAAAGCCTCGGCCCCTGCCCCCACCCCCAGGCTGTTTCAGGTTTTAAAAGGTCTTCTAAAACAAACCAGTTACTTCTAGCTTAAAAACAAAACAAAAGACATCTCTTATGGACTACAATAGACGAATTGGCCTCCTCAGCCACACTAGACGCTGCTCCAAGTCCTCCATACAGAGCATGTTACCATCGTCTTTTAAGACTGAAGGATGCCTAACTAACTAACTAACTAACTAACTAGACGAAAGGATTGAAGGCCTCAGGGATGGGATGGACAAACTTGTTGTTTACATGGCAAACAGTTCCCCCAAGAGCCCCTTGGAGGACTGAGTTGCATTTTGGGAGCCAAAAACAAAACAAAACAACAACAAAACCAAAAAAGAGGGGTTTTTTTTTGCCATTCAGAGGAGGCTCAGGAGCCTCTTCTGGGGGAGATGATACCTTCACAACCACGAACAGTAACTTCAGCGAAGGGATTATCACAACGATTGCACTGGCGACCAATCACGCCTGGTTTGCAGGGGCACTGCCCCGTTTCCATGTCACACTTGCGAGCTTGGGACCCCGATGGGAAACAGTCACAAGGATAGCAGGTGTCACCGTCCAGTGGCCTGTAATAGTTTGGCTAGCAAAAGAAACAAGATATTCACTGATAATTAGCAATTCTAACCCAAACAAGCAAATCTTCCAAGCTCTGATCAAGTATGTAAGCAGTGGATAGGAATCTATGCTTCAGAATGTTTTAAAAAACATCTTAGGGAAGGAAGTAGTCCATAACATATAATTCTTTTTCAGTAACAGATTAACAGATGGCTAACATGGAGTTAAAACTGGTGTTCAAAAGATTTGAATTTGAAAAACTATTTACAAAATGCCTACTAATTCATTAATCAGCCCCCATTTTCAATCATATATGAATTGCTTTAGTCTACTTAACAGTTTAGAACAAATTAACAGTGGTTAAGTGTTCTATGCATTTCAACCCCACATATTTTCAACATGGGGAAAACGATCTTGAAATTGATCAATATCTCTGAAGTAATGACACTATCACATATACATGACATTAAGATGTGGCAGATGACAGCATGGGTATGTATGGAGAAACAACAGCTACACTTGGCTTCTTCAAAGGGGATTACCACATGAGGAAGGCCCAATGCTTATTGTAGATTAGAAGAACTGTCGATAATCCAGAAAAATGTGTGAAGTCTGCTACAACCACCCAACAAGGAAGTATAATGCCTGTAGAAATTCACATGATAAACTCATAAGAAATACGAGTCCTTTATTCTTGACATAGAAATGGGGAGATTTGAGAGGAGAAGGCACGAAAGAATTATGATAACACATCATCTACTTGACTTACTTATTCCTAAAGTGTAGCTATTTGGTTTTGGTATAGTCTAGGGCTAGGGAAATGGATTGGGGGAACCAGGAGCCTGTGCAGGCTAGATAACACCACACTTCCAAGCAAGATCTGTGACCAACATTTTCCACCCGATATTATGGATGGGATCTCTCCTCTGGTTGTTTCCTCTTGCTTCTTCCCTATCAAGGGAAAATGGTAGGGTAGTGATCTGTTCTCAGCTGGTGGCCAGATAACTTTATTTGCTCCTTTCCCTTGTGGGGAAAGTGGCAGGGAAATGATTGACTATTAGCCAGCCCCTGGAAGCACCAACCAAGAGAGGGACATGCTACTTCCAATCCCTGTATGGGCAGGAGAACTCTTTCCATCATTTCTGTTCTGAGACAGCAGGGATTCTTCTCCTACCTGGAGAAGGCAGAATATAGGGAGAACAAAGTTGGCTCTCATTTAAATTTTACATGAGCTAAGAGTTCAAATCCCTCTTTTCTAGCTGGATTACTGGTTCTATAAGGAAATGAGCAATCTCTTCCATACCTTACACTGACACTCTCCATTAGTTTTATTGCAGTCAGGATCAAATCCTTTACTGATCTCACAGTTGCATGGCCCGCAAATGGGATTTCCCCACCAGCCTCGAGGACAGGGCAGATCAATCCTAGAAAGAAGATGCAATGTGGAATACCAACAACAAGAGACATAGTAGTAATACAGTAGAATGAAGAAATGTCTGAATCATTGACATTGTAATTCCAAGGTTTGCCAGAGTTGAAAACAAAGAATTGGAAAAACTAACAAAATACAGAGATCTGGCATTCAAAACATCTCACTTGTGGATGAAACACCTAATCATCGGGGCTTTGGGAACAATATCAAGAAATTTTACACAGTATTATCAGCAGTTGCAGATCTCAGAAATAACACTATCAGAGCTACAAAAGCAGCAATATTAGGAGCAGCATACATACTGACAATCTTTAACAGATACTTAGGTTTTTTGTTAAACATATATCTGTTATATAAAGCAGGCAATGTATTTATTATTTTAATTGATTGTATCTGGTATTTTTACTACTACTACTACTACTATATATCTGTTATATAAAGCAGTCAATGTGTTTATTATTTTAATTGACTGTATCTGGTATTTTTACTACTATTACTACTACTACTACTACTACTACTACTACTACTACTACTACTACTACTACTACTAGGTCCTTGGGAATGACCCAATAATTAAGGAACGAAATCCAGACATATGTGGTGGGCTTTGTAAAACTGAATGATGATGATGATGATGATAACTTGTTCATTGGTGCTTTGGGAGCAATAGCAAAATATACCTAGAAAACCATCTTTGTTCTCTAGGCATAAATTTGATCATGGTAGACCAACTGAAGAAGGCTGTCTAACTTGGAAAATCACATATTTTAAGAAAGTATCTACAAATATTCTAGGTCCTTGGGAATGACCCAATACTGAAGGAATGAAATCCAGACATACAGTATGTGGTGGGCTTTGTAAAATTGAATGATGATGATGATGATGATAACTTGTTCAATACATTTTTGGAATTATGAAAATAATTGTATTTTCCTCATGCACTGGAACATAAGGCACAGTAAGGCACAGCTTATTTTGTTATACTGATTTTTTAAACACTTTTCTGAAAATAAATAAATACATAGGACAATTACAAGAATGGACTTTCTCCCTATTATAGGCTTTAAAACACCTTATTTTAGTGTTATCTATATGCAGCATATTCCAGCAAAAAAATGATTGCAGTATTTATACATTTTAAACTTTTTATCACACATTAAACAGTGATGCTACACATACATTCCTTTCCTTCACTGTCGCCCTCATGCATTATCAGTTTGTTTGAGTATAAGGCTGCTATGCTTCATCTCATTATACCAAAAGCTAAGAAAGGAAGGGGGAATCTCATTCACTTACTTGCTTTCACAGTACTGTCCGTAATAGCTTTGCCCACATTCACAGGTGTATCCATGAGAAGAACTTGGTTTATGGACACAATTGGAGACATGCTCACATGGGTTTAGACTGCACACATCGACACAGTCGGTCCCAAAGTATCCTGAGGAGACAGAATTACAGGCATGCATCAACCACTGTAGTATAATTTGTGATTTTTGTATTTCAGGATGACAATCTATTTTAAACATACACTAATAACACCTTTCGAGTTGTAAGTAAATTTCCTTCACCCAACAAGCTGACTTACAAGGATTATCAGTTAACTTTACTGATAAGATAGATAAGATAAGAAGTTTATTTACGGTCCTTAGACCAGTCACATCAGTATAAAACCTTATAAAACATTAGAATTTTAAACTTTCAGTATTCCATTAAAACATGTTGGCATACACACAACCGGAGACTGCAATCTATTTGGTATCTGACTTCCGCAATCGAAGTATTGCAACACAGAACCTCACAACCCAACAGGTGATCTGCACATCAACATCTGAAAGAAGGAACTCAAGCCTATTTCCCTCCGAACGTCCTGGCAATCTATCAATTAAGGGGGTTATAGTCTCTTTTCGCACTGCTTCGTACAATGGGCAGGTGAAGAACATATGCTGTATGGTCTTGATCTCCCTCAGGTGGCATACAGTATATGTTCTTCACCTGCCCATTGTATGAAGCAGTGCGAAAAGAGACTATAACCCCCTTAATAGATAGTGTGCAACTCTGCCTCTTTCCATGCAGCTTTCCTCCTCTGCCCAGCAATTGTTTTCAGCCCCTTTGGTTCCGGTTGCAACAGAACCTTGTGGGGGGGGGGAGTCACATGTGCACTCAGGAGTGAAGTCACATACGCAAATAGCAGAGCCCTGCCAAGCGACGCTGAAAGTTAGACGTGTACGTTGCCCACTGCTAAACAATGAATTATTACACTAATGAATAGTGTAATAAGTCATTCTCTTTCAACTGAAGAAGGAAATCAAAGGTGGTTTCTAAATTCATTATAGTATGTGGTGCTCTGACAAAGTATGCAAACACAATAGATTTGTTCCATTTGTGCTTATAAGAGTAAACGGTTGATGAATTTCTCAAAACTATCAAAGCTGGAACATTCTGAAGATTGCTCTGCACAGGCACAAGACTCATATGTGCAAGTCACCGAGACCATAAAGAAGAACATAAACACCTGACACCACTTACCATTCCCTTCTGATGGCTGAGCAGTTGCAAGAGCCTGGGCTTGTTCCAAATCTTTCATGTTTGATTCCAAGCTTGCAAGTAGATTGAACTATTTCTTGTGATGCAAAGTGAGAGCTGGGTGGCCCCATGAATGAGCCGTACAGCAGCTGAGCTAGAGCCTTTGCTTTATAGAGTTTGAGGGCTGCTGGTATAAAGGACCCTCATTGGGAGAGATGGAATTTTACTATACTATTTGCCGATCTTTCTCCCTGATCTGCCACAAATTTACTATGCTGCAGCCTAGACCCTGAGGCCTGTAGTACTACCCCCAGATATTTGAAGCTGTTCACCTGCTCAATACTGTGCCAGTTTATTTGCCATGACTGAATCTTGGGTCTCTGTCCAAAGGTGATTGTATTCACAGTATGAGGCAAGCTTCTTAAGTGCCCTCCTCAGCCCTATGGGGGTTCTGGATAGAATTACTGTATCATCAGCATAAAGCTGGCACTGTTCTATCTACAAGTTTACGAGAATGCACATCAGCAGTGTTAAGCCAGCTTGATAAATCATTTATGTAAAAGATGAATAATGCTGGTGCCAATAGGCAGCCTTGCCTAACACCTCTGTGCGTTTCCACAGATTCCGTGAGGTGTCCTTGTCTGCTGCACCTGACTCTCAAGTATGTTTCTTCATGTAGGGCCCTGATTAAATATGGAAGTCTTTTGTCTATAGATGACTTTACTGAAATATCTATTTTCCAATAATTTGCAGATATATTTGGGTACCTCAGCCACATTTACCAGGTTTTTTGGTTTTTAACTAATTCTACTTCTGAAATAAAAACTGATGGCATTTTTGCTTTTGTGCAGAAGCAAAAGCTCTCACAGTGTTTGACAGTTTTTTTTCCAACAGGATGTCTTGATGCCTTTGAGATGAAAAAAATCTGTGGGTATTTATTACACCCTTACTTCCAATCAAGCTTCAGGCCTGGTTATGGGACAGAGACTGCTTTGGTCACCTTGATGGATAACCTATGCTAGGAACTGAACAGGGGGGACTCCTGTCCCTGTTGGTTCTGCTGGACCTTTCAGAGACCATGTTATCCTTCTGGACCATCTCTCCAGGATGGAACCTGGAGGCACTGTTTTACAGTGTTTTCCCCCCACATTGCTGTTTAACATCTATATGAAACCACTAGGAGAGGTTTCAGAGTTCTGAGATTTGTTGTCACCAGTACATGGATGACACCCAACTCTATCTCTCCTTTCTATCTAAATCCGAGAAAGATGTTTTGGCACTAGATCAGTATCTGGTGTCAGTAATAGACTGGATGACGGCAAATAAACTGAGATTTAATCCAGACAAGATACTCCTGGTCAGTGAAAAGGCAGATCAAGGAAGAGGGATGCAGACTGTGGTAGAATGGGTCACGTTCCCCCTGAAAACACAGGTGCAGAGTTGGGGGGTGCTCCTGGATTCATCTCTAAACCTGCATGCCTAGGTTTCGACAGTAGCCAGGAGTGTATCTGCCCAATTAAACCTAGTGCACCAGCAATGCCTGTTCCTAAATGGACTGAATTGTCTGGTCTGGCCACAGTGATGCATGCCTTAGATACATCTTGTTTGGATTACCGTAATGTGCTCTACATGGGGCTGCCTTTGGAAAGTGTTCAGTAAGTCCAGATGGTCCAAAATGTCACAGCTAACTGAGACTGGTTACAGGAAACATATAACTCCTTTGTTACAGCAGCTCCACTAGCTGGCAATGTGTTTCTGAGCACGATTCAAAGTGCTGATTGTAACCTATAAAGCCCTAAACAGCTTGGGCCCAAGCTATCTCACGGGCTGTGTCTCCCTTTATGATCCTACTCAGGTGTTCAGAACATCAGGAGAGGCCTTCCTCCCAGTTCCACCACCATCACAGGTGCATTTGGGAAAGGGCCTTCTCTGTGACTGCTCCCAGACTTTCAGGCTCCCTCTCACAGGAGGCTAGTGTGGCCCCATCTTTATTGTCTTTCCGCAAGCAGGTGAGGACCTTTCTCTTCAGGCAATTTTTCCTGCACTGACTGGCTGCCTGCGTGGTTTTTTTTTTTAATGGATTGTTGTGCCTTACTGCTTTGAATGCATTTTTGGTGTTGCTTTTGTTTACCGTTATTTAGTGTGGTATTTGTCTGATCCTTTTTAGTGTTTGTATGCTTACTGTTTTTAACTTTAAATACATACAGTGGTGCCTCGCATAATGATCGCTCTGTATAACGATGAAATCGCTTTGCGACACATTTTTTGCGATTGCAAAAGCGATCGCTTTGCGATGGTCCCTATGGGGTATTTTCGCTTTGCAATGATTGCAGGGAAGCGATCATCACAAAGCCCCCATTTTCGCACAGTTGATCAGCGGTTTCAAAATGGCTGCCGGGTAAACAAAATGGCCTCCCGCTGTTTTCTGGGACGGATTCCTTGCTTTAGAGGCACCAGAAATGGCGGCGCTATGGAGGATCTTCGCTTAAAGGTGAGTTTTAAGCCCATAGGAACGCATTAATCGCGTTTTAATGAGTTTCTATGGGCTTTTTTATTTCGCTTAGCAATGTTTTCGTTTAGCAGCGATTTTTTTGGAACGAATTAACATCGCTAAGCGAGGCACCACTGTATTGTATTTTAATGATGTAAGGCGCCTTGGGTCCTTTTTAAGGAGAAAAGTCAGTGTGAAAATATTTTAAATAAATAAAGAAACCAAAATCCATGACAGTTTAAAGAATTGAGTATAATAAACAAAACTATTTTCAAAACCACGAATATGCCTTCCCTTTTTACAGAAAATGTAGGTGGATTCCCACTCACCCACCTGAAGAATATGTTTAAAAAGTTAGCACTTAAGATGGTAAATATTATGATAGTGAGCGGTATTCATCATAGTCACATTTATGTGCATATGGCCCACTCTATAAACCTGCCAAACTGAAAAACACTCATAACCACATCATCATCATCATCATCATCATCATCATCATCATCATCATCATCATCATCATCATCATCATCATCATCATCATCATCATCATCATCAAGTTGCAGAGCTGGAAAACACCCTGTGGTTCACTGAACCCAGCCCCTGTCAAGGAGGCACAGCATGGAATTGAATGCCCAGCCTAAACTACTGAGCTATAATATCCATGAAAGCATTATTAGGAATAATTGCTTGCTTAAGGACATTACCTGGATCACAGACACATGAATAGCTGTCCCAGTCATCACTACAATAGCTGTGCAGGGGACAAGGATTAGAATCACATGGATTCTCCACATCACAGCCCTCCTTAACATTAATCTTGATTGCCTGGTTCGTGTTCAATGCTGCCACGTTTGTAGATGTCTCTCCCATTCTCACTCCCTGAAAAGGTGGGAAAAGGGCAGAAGCATTGGTCACAACAATGCAGAATCCCAGTTTAAGATTCAGTGCTGCACTTGTAGAGAATCTGGACATCAAACTAATCACAATTTACAGCAGAAGAAGGAGCAGCAATGAAATTTGGATCCCCTCCTTCCTTCCTTCTCCTACAGGGCAGCCACAAGCAGACAAATGGACAAGTAAACTGGATGTCAGAGTAAGATCAGTTAACATTACAGGGATTCAATCACAGCTCTTTGTGTTATTAAGTTCCATTAATTTTAACAGGCTTGTTTCTATCGCCCTCCTAAAGTAACTTATTTAGGGCAGTATCCAGTGCTTGGATATTTTCTAAATGGCCTATTCAGACCTCATTTAAAAGCACTCACTTAAACATTAGACTGGAGATGGAGTCATGTTGAACAGCCAGCCGCAACCTCACACACATCAGGTAAGCATCTCCTTCTGATGTCCATGCAAACTGGACTAATTCTGCAGGAATGAGGCCCTTCTTGCATATAACGATAGACATCAGAGGCTACCACATGAACAGAAACCCCATGCTCTCAGGCTTCTAGCTCAGATGCAAGCCTGAACAGAGCTAAAGAATTTTTAAAAGCAGAAACCAAATTGATACCACTCCCCTTTTGCTCCCTATATCCCTACCCCATCAGCCTAGTCTCAGAATTGACAGAGAAATCTTCTGGGCATCTCCTGGCTATTTATTTTCAGTTCTCACCTGGAGACAGCCATAGAAGCCCTGCTGCACAGAGACCTGATCTCCAGAGACACCTCCCACAACAATACTTTTCATTTTAAGTCCTGGTAACTGATTTCCAATCTGTACAGTGCTCTGAAAAGAAGAAGAGATTAAATGAGGTTCCTGCTTTTCTAGGCATGCTCAGGTACAATATTTCACTGATAAACAGAAAAAGCATATTTAACAATAAACCCAAAGTGGTAATGGAAGTTAATCATGCTGTGCTTCTGATAAGAAAGCATTTCCCAAAGATATAATGACTATTCTCCTCCAATCCGAAGGCAACTCAGACAATTTAGTCATTATTTCCACCATGTGTGATCACTTTATCAGCCACAAAGTAATGAGCATAAATTGAACCTCATTTTCTGATGGAATCCAATGTGGGTGTTTAGAAAAAGGGTTCCTCTAGCCTGTTAAAACTATGCTAACCATGTAGTCTGGGGACGTGGTGGCGCTGCGGGCTAAACCGCAGAAGCCTTTGTGTGTTGCAGCAATCATAAGACCAGCAGTTGTAAGAGCGAATCCACGTGGCGGAGTGAGCACCCATCGCTTTGTCCCAGCTCTTGCCAACCTAGCAGTTTGAAAACATGTAAATGTGAGTAGATAAATAGGTACTATCTCGGTGGGAAGGTAAACAGCGTTCCATGTACAGCTGCGCTGACCACGTGACAATGGGAACTGTCTTCGGACAAATGCTGGCTCTATGGCTTGGAAACGGGGATGAGCACCGCCCCCTAGAGTTGAACACAACTGACTAAAATGTCAAGGGGAACATTTACCTTTACTTTAACCATGTAGTCTATCACAAAAGGATAGGAGAAAAATAATTTATCTTAAATGCAAGCCAGAAATAAGTGGGGTTTGGCACCACTCACAGTTGTACCATGTCACAATATGGCTATAATACTGATTCCGGCTTTAACTTTATACTAAAAAACTATGGAAATCACCTCACCTGATACATCCCATAGTCCAGGGACACAACAGCCAGGTACTTGATGTCCTTGCCATCTTTTGCACTCTTCAGTTCTATTAGCAAATGATGCCACTCGCCATCACTGATTCTGGACTGGGTCATTGTCAAACTGGCCACCTGGTTCAGTCCATCATAGACTTCAAACACCACATATTTATTCAGTATCTGTCAAAAACAAATATAATGTTCGCTTGCTGTTGAGAAAGATGGCTGGAATAAGTTACATTTCAATCCTTTGTCATTCCCAAACAACTGTGGCAGTACTCTTCTACAATTTGTGTATCCTGTAGGACTACAAACAGAATCAAAGGTCATGATCTCTTCTTGACCGTTTCAGCATACTGAAATTTGTTCATACCAATATTCTGCTTCCCACTTGAACACCATTTTATTTCTTACCAGAACCAGATATTTGTTTACTCAGCTATAATCTCAGAACTGCAGAGTTGGAAGAGACCCTATGGATCACTGAGTCCAGCCCTTGTCAAGGAGACACAGTGGGAAATTGAACTTCCAACCTCTAGCTCTGCAACCAGAGACCTAAGCCGCTAAGATATCCAGCAATATCTAGCAGTTACCAACACCGTAACACACAACTTTATATGTTACTGAGAATAGTACAGTAGTTCTTGAACTTGGGTTTCTTGATATTTTTGGACTACAACTCCCAGAATTTTTGACTACTGGTCATGATAGCTGGCATTTCTAAGAGGTGAAATCCAACAACATTTGGGAGCCGTTGCCCTAGATCTATGAAAATCAACAAGGAAAGTGAGAGATGATGTGCTTCCCTGAGAAGGATAACAAAGAGGTCTGGAGGTGGCATAGGTGAATTCTCTCCCAATGAAACTAATCAAAGATATATTTTGTTAACAAAAACAAGCATAACTTTCCCACTTCCATTGGTAGGATCAATATATGCCTGCCCGACTTTGAACTGCTCAAATCAGGGTCTTGTTTTCACCATTGAACCCTGTTTTTGCACACTATACAACTTGTGCTGGCAAAGTTTAGTGTTGTAAGAGCTATTGTGTTTTATCAAGAAACCCAAGATCCTAACAACATGCAAAGCAAGGGATTCACTGTAGTGAATTCTCTTACTGGATGACAAATAAAAACACAATACATCTAAGTTAATATCATAGCTAGCTAATGGGATGAGTGCAGGGGGGCTAACCCCAAATGTAGTGGAACCCACCTCTAGGTCATGCCCAGGTCACAAGCTACAATAGTCACCAAGGATTAGGGATCCCAATTCCCAGACTAGCTAGCAGAACAGCATGAAGTCCATGTCAAGGATAACCAAATAACTTTTATCTTTTACAGGTTAGGGATCAGCACAATAAACATAAAAGTAGCCAGGTACGTGGTTTTTTAAACTTTCAATTTTACTTGCTTGTTTAACTATTACCATCTATGGCGGATTGCCCAGCTGCGGCCCTACCTTGATGGTGGGGCCCTCACCACTCTCGTCCATGCGCCTGTAATCTCGAGATTAGACCACTGTAATGCGCTTTACATGGGGCTACCCTTGAAATTGATGCAGAAGTTTCAAATGGTGCAGAATGTGGCAGCCAGATTACTTAGTGGGACAAGAAAATGCCAGCATATCTCTCCCACTCTGGCTGCCTTGCATTGGCTGCCCATTTGTTTCCGCACTGATTTCAAAGTGTTAATGATGACATATAAAGACCTAAACAGTTTAGGATCTCAATATCTAGCAGAATATCTTCTCCCACCTAGCTCTACTTGAGTCACTCGCTATAGCCAGGAAAGACGGCTGAGGGGCCTAATGCCGAGAGAGGCCCAGAAAGAAAGAACTAGAAACCGGGCCTTCTCGGCAGTGGCCCCTCGACTTTGGAACAGCCTGCTGCCAGAGATTCACCTGGCATCCTCGCTGGATGTTTTTAAGAGCCAATTAAGGACTTGGCTCTTTAGGCAGGCCTTCCCTCCTGTCAATACTTGACTTTTATTTCTTACTTAGCTTTTGTTTATATTTTCCCATCTTGATTAATATTTTATTGTCAATTTAATTGTTGTTTTAACCATTTTATGAATAATTTTATTGTAAGGTGCCCTGAGTAGACATTGTCTATGCTCCGCCCACCCTACGCCTCAGTTCCGTTTTATCTGCCACTAATCAAACTCTGAACTTCATAAAGCTGATAAAAGTGACGGACAGTAGGGAGGCTGGGTGGGATGTGTGAATTCGTTGTTTTCTGTTGAAACATATATGGCTATGGGAAAAATGTGCCAATCGTAGCACCACTCCCATTATATCAGTACTATAGTCTTCTGACAGATATTTGTGATGTTTGATATGGCTGTATCCCTATTTCAAATTCCTTGCAGCATTCACATAAAGTATTCTATACTGCAATCATAATACTTCAGTATCATTTCCTGATAAATTAAATTTCATTAATATAACATTGTCATATAATTCCACCAAACCTAGTGGCACTTCTTAATAAACATCAATAAAACGGTGCTGCTGATTAGCTGAGTGAACAAGCACAAATATTTAGCGTTGTAGTTCATTGTTCAAGGACATTTTCCAGTTGCACTAATGAACAAAGTTACCTGGATATTGATCTTGGATGACACCCCTGCATTTGCTTGCATTAACACGCCATTGGTCTTCCGGGTTCTAAACATGAGGCCAATGTACCATGGTACAGAAATAGTGATATCAAGATCACTCCAGATGATGATGCTCTCGCCAGTAAAACGATGAGGGAAAGGCATGACTGCAATGGAAGACAAAGGTGAAAACAAACATGCATGCACTTAATCATTTTTTTCTCTCTGTGTTCTTGGGAGTTGTGCAGTATTGGCAGTCTGGAACTGGGCAGATATAAGATATATATGGACTTATATAAAACTGATTGTGTGCAGGCTTGTTATCAGAAATATGCCAAGGAGAACACAAAATCAAGCAGAGATCCTTGCAAAAGCTGAGAACAGGTTCCAGTGCTCACATAATTAGGCATTGGTGGTATTTCAAAATCCACAGAAAAGTAGTGGTTACAACCTTGTAGTGACATCAGATGACACAATATGGCCTTCACAGATGGAATTACTACTTTTAATAAGGTGCTTTAAATATTATAATTTTCCAGGACAGGGAAGAAAGCATGTAGAGTTAATGTCAAGCTATCTAATGGAATGCAATAAAAACTGAGAAACAGACGAAACAGCAGACCCACTGGATTCTATAAACAATGGTCTCTCACAGAGCGCAGGGTTTTAGGGGCAGGAACCATGTACAGTGGTGCCTCAACTTATGAACGTCTGGACTTACGACCATTTCGAGTTATGACCAGCTCCAGCTGCAAAATTTTGCTTCAACTTGCGGTCGGAGCTTCAAGTTATAAGCAAAAAAAGGCAGGGGAAAAAGGCAGGGAATTCAAATTGCTAACCGTTGGTAGGTGAAGAGGCTGCTTCTTTGTAGCTCTTTTGCCCCAACGGTTAGAGTGAGTGCGATCGGAGGAGGCTTTGGACTGCCTGGTAAGGTAAGGTGCTGCTTTCTGCTTTTTAAAAACTGTTCTGGATGGGTTTTGCAGGGTGGTGGGATTATGTTTCTATGCTGTGATGGGTCTTGCAGGTTTGGTCAGTTTTTGGATTCCCCCCCCATTTCTGATGGGTCTTGCAGGTTTGGTTGCTTTTTGAGGTCCCCCCATTTCCGATGGGTCTTGGGGGGGTTGTTTGCTTGTTGGGTTTTCCCCTTTTCCAATGGGTCTTGGGGGGGTTGTTTACTTTTTGGTTTCCTCCCCCATTTTTGATGGGTCTTGCAGGGTTTAGTTGCTTTTTGGGGTTTTTTCCCCATTTCCGATGCATCTTGGGAGGTTTGCTTGTTGGGTCCCCCCTTTTCCGATGGGTCTTGGGGGGGTTGGTTGCTTTTTACTTTGCTTTTTTTTCATTTCCAATGAGTCTTGCACGCTTTGCTTGCTTTCTGCTTTGCTTTTTGGCATTACCGATGGGTCTTGCCCGCTTTGTTTGCTTCCCCCCCCTTCAGCCGGAACGGATTAATCGCATTTCTGATGGGTCTTGCAGTGTTTTGGGTTTTTGGTGATTTTTTTCTTCGGCCAGAACGGATTAATTGCATTTCAATGCATTCCTATGGGAAATGGTGCTTTGACTTACGACCATTTCGAGTTACAACCGGAGTTCCGGAACCAATTAAGTTTGTAAGTTGAGGCACCACTGTATCAACAAGAGCTTAGAGGTAACATTATGAATAACAAGCTATCCCTTTCAAAACAATGGCTATAACTTACACCAAGAGCTTAGAGGTAACATTACGAATAACAAGTTATCCCTTTCAAAACAATGGCTATAACTTAACAAGGGACGTTTTTTATTCTTTTTCCTATGTAAATGTAACTCTGTACATTTATCTAAACATACTATGCAATTTTACTGTGACATCTATATTTCTGGAGGCATATATTTACTTAGTCTTGCTAAATGGTATAGGAAAAAATATCACACTTTTCATGTGCTGAGTTGGCCTGTATCTTATGTTCTGTTACAGCTGGCAAATTGAAAGCAGCCACCAGCTTGTAACATTCAGAGTTTATTTATTTCTTTAGGAAAAGCAAATAGAAATAACTCTGAAGAGATTGGGAAACTGAGGGATCATGGACTCTGGTGCTCTTCTAGAAAATTCACGTTTCGTAGTCAGTGCCTGGAATGAGATGGCTGAGCGAGGACAGTAACACCAGTAACTGGAAGGGAGGAACACCCACAATTTATCTGTGTGAGAGCAACCTTCAAGGCCAAACCAGCTCATAACCTGGTACTGAGCTAACTGGGAAGATGATTTCATCTGAGTGAAGGGAGGGGGCAGAAAATACTCTTGTCTTTGTGAATATTCAAGGGGACTCAATGCCTTATTGGAAGACTCTCTGAACAAAAGGCAAATGCTATTCTAGTCTGCATTAACAGAAGAATAGTCTCTAAATCATTTGAAGTACTAGTTAGTTCCTCCCTATTTGGCATTGAATACTGCGTCCAGTTCTAGACACCACACTTTAAGAAGGATACAGACAAACTGGAACAGATTCAGAAGACAGCAGCAAGAATAATCAGGGATCTGGAAACGAAGTCCTTTGAGTAAACACTGAAAGATCTGAACATGTTTAGCCTTGAGAAAAGAAAATTGAGGGGAAATGTGACGGTCCTGTTGAAATGCTTGAAAGGCTGTAATACAGGGGAGTGACCAGAACTCTTCTCAATCATTCCAGAGTGGAGGACAGTTAACAATGGGCTCAGATTACAGGAGCAAGATTTTGGTTGAACATCAGGAAAAACTTACTAATCACTACAGCAGTATGACAATGGAACTAACCATGTTGGGAAGTGGAGAGCTCTCCAATACTGGAAGCATTCAAGAGGAAGTTATATTAAAGCCATCTGTCAGATATAATAGCTTGGATTTACCCTACCTTTCTCCTTAAAGGGAACCCTTCCAAATCCAATTTTTTTTTAATGATTCTCATGCTCTGGTATCACCTATAGTGCTAATTATGTCATGTAAATGTTAACAAGTAGCTGTGGAAGTTTGTAAATCTCATTATTTTTAATGTTAACTCCATGTGTAGCAGGAACAGCTGCTACTTCTCCAAAGCTTTTGCCAAATTGTACAACAAAGTCTGGTAAGCTTGACATAGAACAGTCTGTGTACACTGAATAACAGGCATGAAAAATGGCGCATGTAAGATTCTCACTAGCACTATGGGTCCATCAAGCTTTAGTCCCCAGACCACAGTAGATATGATATACATGAATTAAGAACTACCAGATGCTTGATCAACCCTGTTTTCATGGTCTCAGGGGAACTTCAAAAAGAAGGGTTTTATAAAGGATCTGGCAGGTCAAAACACATGGCTGGTGTGTCATTTACATTCCAGGTGTTACATATTTAATAGCCTCTTCAAAACATGGATTTGTGTGGTTTTTTAAAGTACTCGACATTCTACCAATTTCTACCACTTCAACTTCTGGTTCACCTTTCTTTTAACTGGCCAGAGTTCTCTTTTATTGACCTGACTTATTTCCCATTATGCATATTCAGTCCCACAGATGTATTATGGGAAGTAAGTAATTGGTTTGGGGCCTCCTGACAATAAAATGTCAGGAATAATAAAATGGGGGTTTTGGTGATTTTTTTTGGCAGGAAAAGCCATTACATTATACAGTGTTATTCATCTGCTACAATTGGATTTATGGGAACAGACTGCAAAAGCGGACTAATAACATGATACTTAGCTTGAGCCAAATAAATTCTGACTCAAATCTTGATTGGACAGTAACTTGCTGTTAAAAGTATTTTTGACTTCATTAGTTTTACAAGAACTCTAATGTTTAACCATTTTTGAAATAAATATAATGAAAGTGTAGATCATTTTTCTATGCTCAATAAGATCCAGAGTTCTCATGGTTGAACACCACTTTGCTTCTACTAGAAAAATGACATCAGAACTACATGCTGACACTTCAGAACAATTCCCCTAGCACCTCAGCATCTGACATATTTCAACAGAACACAGTATGGTACTTTTGAGTTCTAGAGGTTGGGCTGCCATAAGGGTTTCCAACTCTGGAAACTCTGGATTTCTTTAGATGATCAACATTTGGGTTTATCAGCAAAGAATCTCAAACAACTGATGTTAAAATAAAGTGGGCTGTGACTGTTTTCTGTTTCATAGTGCACTGTACTCCCTCAATTTCCTAGGAAGTACATTTTTTTTCTCAAATGAAGTACAGTGGACCCTTGACTTACAGACAGCTTGACTTACAGACTTTTTGAGTTACAGACTTCTCTGGCCGCAAAATTTAGGTTTGACTTGCAGCCTGAGAATTGACTTACAGACCAGAAAAAAACCAAAATGGAACAAAAACGGCCTGTTACGGGATTAATTGGTTTTCAATGCACTGTAGGTCAATGGAGACTTGACCTACAGACTTTTTGACCTGCAGCCACCGTTTTAATACAGATTAATTCCGTAAGTCAAGGGTCCACTGTACACATTTTTTGCACAGCTTGTTTTGGTGGATAATTTTGTTGGGTGGCAACTGGGATTAGAAAAGAGCTACTCTAGGTTGCCGTTGTACCACTGAATTTTTGTGGTGGCAAGGGGTGTGCTATTGGCAATAGGACTGGGTAGACTGGTAAAACTGATCCCATCCCCCAGGTCTGCCCTAGTGCCTAGAGTGATGTCCTAATAAATATTATGAAGCAAACACTCAGTTATCTGAGTGACAGTACTTTTGGAACAAAACAAAACAAAAAATCATCCACACAGAAAAAGAGAACCAGTAAAGGTTTTTGGGAGACCTCCAGTGTTTATAGATGAACAGATTTATTTGGGGGGGGGATTGCTTTTTAGAAAAGGGGAAGCCAAAGAACCTAATGATTAAGCATGTGCAGTGACCACAGAATGCTAAACAGAATAGTGTGTATATATGTGGAGGATGGGAAATTGTGGATGTGTGAGAGAATGGAACTGTATCTAAATAGAAGCACACTACAACATTTTCATTATCATCGTCATCTTAGAAATGCAGAGCTGGAAGGGACCCTACAGATTTTGTTAACCGCTTCCACTAAATTACTGATTTTTGTGAAGTATATGGATATGGCTTGTGTTACTAAGAAGCACTCTCATTTTAAGTGTCGCAACATGAAAACTGAAAAAGCTTGGCTAGTGTCTCACATTAACAGAGCAGGCACTGTAGAACATTGTCCAGAATATGCTGTAATCTGCCAGGGTTACAATGGATAATGTACAGGCCAAGAATTCCTCAGCAGAAGATTTAGTGTAGAATGTGTTCCCTGATAGTGGACGTTTTAAAGACAGTGATCTACAAGATGGCACAAAAGGTTCATCAAATGTTACCTACCGTCAATCAGCAGGCATTCAATCTGTACCCTGTCAAATGGGATCTGATGAACCGTACTTAAGAAATTAATGTAGATTTGTTTTCTGTTAGCATACCTTTGCAATCCAGATGTACAAAGAATTATAAGTTTGGCTTTCATTTTTTCAGTGAAGTGCTGATTTCCTGCATTAGTGGTTTGTCTACTGGATACAGCATGATAACTTGTATGTACCATAATTCTCCATCATTCACAAACCTATTAAGTCAGCATAAAATGTCTGAAACTTGTTCTGTGACTCCCAATGACGTAAAGGATATCAGTTCAATTGGAAAGACAGTTAACTTGATTTGAAGACTGAAGTACAATTAATTATAATTGGCATGGCCAATATCCTGTGGCAAGTCCTTCACCCCCACTGTATGCATTACACTGGGTGTGAAGGATTTGCTATAGGATATTGGCCATGCCATCCAGATACTATGAACCATCAAATTCTTGTTAAAGCCTATCGTCTAAGAAGCTACAAATCCGGTAGTTCAGAAGCTGCCTCACAACAATTAAAATTTGCTCAAACATTACAGGATGCATTAGACAGTGAATGGGGAAGATATCAGTTGCTTACCTTGTTCACAGTTTTTTCCACCATATTGCAGGGGACACTCACAGGCATAAGTATTCCATTTGTTCACACAACTGCCTCCATTCTGACACCAGTTGGTGGTGCAGTAATTCTTCTGAGCCAGGCAGCCTTAAATTCCAAAAGAGATGTTTTTAGCTCCCGGATGGTTCTGCACCTACACATCGATTCTAAGAAGATGCTATCGGTTATTGTATTTCTTAACCTTCTGAATGGCTGCACATGTGCTTGTGTACAAAGGAATCAGGTATGAGTCCAAATACAGGGGGTTGGAAAATGAGCTCTGCACTGACCATAGTGTTTTTGCCTCATCCTTACCACCGCCACTCCTGGACAATTCAGATTTGAAACTCCTTGGTGTTCCTGTTTTTAAATCAGTAACTTACACGAACAAGAAAGTAAACTTGGAAGCTGTAGGACATGTACACAAGCCCCTGCATCAACTTAAAAAATGCTTGGGTTATGGCAGGAGAGTGTTGAGGGCACAGGTAGAGGTGAGTGAGTTAGACTCTACAGTACATGCATAGGTACTGTTAGGAAATTTTTAAAAAACTGAACATGGAACACATTCAGACATAAATCTTACAGCCACTCCAAAGTTTCTACTTCCTTGGCTAAATAAACAGTTTTGTTGGCAGACTTCTCAGTGAAACAAAAATATATCTTCCTCTCCCTTCCTACCTGCCATGTGGAATTTATACCTGCATGAGTTCCATTATTGGCTATGAAACTGGCCATGTCAATTGGCTTGTTGTCAATTGAGAGGTTTCTCATACAGCCAACAAACTGTCTGTTGTGCACTGGAAAATCTTCAGGCAAGTTTGGAACTCCTCCAAGTAGCAAAGGGCCGGTAAGATCCAGAGACCTTTAAAAAAAAAAAGGCAGATATCAGACCTCATTTATTTTGACAATTTATCCCATGTTTCTCATCACACAGAAGTGTTACGGTATATGGAAGGTCAATTCCATACCTCCACTAGGCACTCAATCATAAGTATATCAAACAAAATAACAATGCACCTGGTTGTAAATTAAACCCTAAAATACTCTCCATTATATATAACTGGTTTTATTTAGATTTTTAATTTTTTTAATTTATTTTTGCTAATGAATACTTCTGCCACAGATGAAAAGGTCATCTCTGTCTTTTTGGTATTTTAAAGAGTTTAGCTGTAATTTTTATTCAACTTCCCTGCAATTAAGAGATTACATTCTCCTTCTAGACAGTATTTTGTTGCAGTGTTCTCTTATATTCATTTCCAGAGAGATATATAGCCAGGTATCATTTTAAAAAACTTCAAAATTTTGGGTTAATTCCAGTGTAAATTCTTCTATTTTTTTTAAAATTTGCTTTAATACTCAAACAAATGTTTATAAATCTTTGACAGGCTGTGTTTATTGTTACTTACAACTGTTTTCTCTAGCTCAACTCTATTTGCTTCAGTCATTCAATTAACCTAAGTTATTTAAACAGGACCTAAACTAAAAATCCTTCATTTCATCAGAAATATCTCATGACATATTTTATATGCCGTTTCTAACCGAATTAGGTATTTAAATCAATCATTTTCTTCCACGCTGACTTCCCTTGTACTTTAAAATCCTATTTTCTTCTTGTCATTTTCATTATTTCAGAACCTAAGAAGGTTTTTTTTTCTATTTTCCTTTTTCAATCTTACATCTTCAAACTCTAGAGTGCCTTTTTATTTAAAAAAAAACATGTTCAAGAAATAAAAACAGTTCCATGGTTACAAGGAGATGTTTAGCAGAATGGCTTCTATAAATGACACAAATTATCATATTTTTCTCCAGATCCTTATCTGCTTCCTCAGAAGAAAGGCTCACTGGGTGCAGCAAGCTGGATTTTAATGCATAACTGCAGTATCTTGCTTAGTACATATATGAAAGTAAGTTTACACTTTTTAGTGACCTACTCTAGGCATACATAAAATGGATGAGAGAGCTTCCCAGGGCATGTGTTTCAAACAGCTCTTGCATCCAACAGCTTAAATCCAACTTGCTAGTTCCACTCAGAGGAGACCCACTGAATCAACTATTGAACAATTAAATCAACCGTTCTGAAAATTCTATTAATTTAGCGGACAACATCCTGTTCGCCACTGGCAGAACATAAAGCTCCTCTGGCTCAACAGCATGGGATCTCCTGCGTCTGCATGTGTTGCTCTTAGAATAGTGGAGATCCCTTTTCAGAACAGTTGGTTCAAGTGGCAAAAAATTACGAACAAACAAAACAAATTAATCCCCCCCCCCAAGCTGCTCATGCTACATCTGTTGCATGAGTGGTTTGAGTCTATCAGGATCCTGTTCAGTGGGTCTACTCAGGTTGAGATTAGCACTTGTCTTTATGTCTACGCAAGTATTATAAAACGTCGCAGCCTTACTTTTTTGAACCACTTTGTGTTCCCTGAGCAGCACATGAATAGTTTCCAATGAGGCTTCCAAAACGCACAGCTACCGCAGTATCGCAGTCATCCACAGTTACTACAGCCACCTTCTCCCCTGAAGGTCCGTGAGGAATACCTAATCTTCCTATGTTGGGCTTGCAAAACAAAAGTAAAACATAAAATCCTCACAAAATATAGAAGCATTTTACAGAGAAAGAATAAATATACTGTATATCCGCCAATAATTTTAGAACAAACAAAATGTATAGCATAGGCATGTAGACATATTTTCCAAATTAATTTTGCCAAGCTAAAAATCATGAGCAAACAGTTTAAGATCTTAATGTTTAAAAATACCATAATTCGCAGCACCCTCATAATCATCCCACTGCATTGGATAATTATCAGCCATTCTACAGTATTTTTAAATAGCAATTACTGTAGTGATTACTGTATGGTTTTAGTTCAATGTAAGCTGCCTTGAGTCTCCTATGGAGAGAAATGTGACATATAAATAAAATAAAATAAACCAACAATCTCAATTTGTGTGATGCTTTGAGAGAAGAGGCATTTTTAAATAAATTCCAATTGTTCACTAAAAGCAACATCCCAAATAATGACTACAGTACACAGAGTTGTTCACTTGACTAAAAGCAACATCCCAAATAATGACTACAGTACACAGATAAATTCTGAGTTGCCTCAAGCTGTTCTTAAATCATTACAGATTGAATTCAGCAGGATTGCTGTCTACAATAAGGGATAATGTGAAAGAAAGGAAATAAAATGTGTTTTACCCTCCAGTCCCCAGTTTACCTACTAGTAAGAAACAGAGACTCCTTCATGGATTGCTGCCTTGTCATGGTGAAGGGGCTTGAGTAATTCAGAGAATCTATGGGCTATGCTGTCCACGGACACCCAAGACGGACAGGTCATAGTGGAGAGTTCTGACTAAACACAATCCACCTAGAGCAGGACCTGGCAAGCCACTCCAGTATCTTTGCCAAGAAAACTCCATGGACAGAAACAAAAAGCTAAAAGATATGATGCTGGAAGATGAGCCCCTCAGGTTGGAAGGCGTCCAACATGCTACTGAGGAAGAGCAGAGGACAAGTACAAGTAGCTCTAAAGCTAATGAAGTGGTTGGGCCAAAGCCGAAAGGATGCTCAGCTGTGGACGCGACTGGAAGTGAAAAGAAAGTCCAATGCACCAAAGAAAAATACTATTGGAACCTGAAATGTAAGATCTATGAACCTTGGTAAGCTGGGTATGGTCAAACAGGAGATGGCAAGAATAAACCTTGACATCCTGGGCGTCAGTGAACTAAAATGGATGGGAATGGGCGAATTCAATTCAGAAAATTATCATATCTACTATTGTGGGCAAGAATCCCGTAGAAGAAATAGAGTACCCTTCATAGTCAACAAAAGAGTGGAAAAAGCTGTACTGGGAGACGATCTCAAAAATGATAGAATGGTTTCAATATGAATCCAAGACAGATCTTTCAACATCACAATAATCCAAGTTTATGCACCAATCACCGATGCTGAAGAGGCTGAAACTGACCAATTCTATGAAGACTTACAACACCTTCTAGAACTGACACCAAAGAAAGATGTCCTTCTCATTATAGGGGACTGAAATGTCAAGAGGGATGTAGGGGGTCAAGAGATAAAAGGAACAACAGGTAAGTATGGCCTTGGAGTTCAAAACGAAGCAAGGCAAAGGTTAATAGAGTTTTGTCAAGAGAACAAGCTGGTCATCACAAATACCCTTTTCCAACAACACAAGAGCCAACTCTACACATGGACATCACCAGATGGGCAATACCGGAATCAGATTGATTATGTTCTCTGCAGCCAAGATGGAGAAGCTCTATACAGTCAGCAAAAACAAGACCTGGAGGTGATTGTGGCTCTGATCATCAACTTCTTATAGCAAAACTTAAGCTGAAACTAAAGAAAGTGGGAAAAACCACTGGGCTAGTCAGGTACAATCTAAACCACATCCCTTATGAATACACATGGAAGTGAAGACCAGATTTAAGGAGCTAGATTTGGCGGACAGAGAACTATGGATGGAGGCCCATAACATTATACAGGAGGCAGCAACAAAAACCATCCCAAAGAAAAGGAAATGCAAGAAAGCAAAGTGGCTGTCCAACGAGACCTTACAAAAAGTTTGTTATACAACTTATATAATCCTGATTTGACCTATATATCTTTCATATTTTATTTATGACCATGGTCTAAAAAAGATTGCGAATGGCTGTCCTAAAGCACTACCAGATGAAAAACTGGTCTACTACTTTTGAGTATACCTATGAAACCCTGCCAACAACTGACCTGATGGCACATAAATTACATTATTATTATAATTTTTAAGAATGAAGAACCCTCCCCTTAAACAGATTCCATTCCTGCAGAATACTTGGTGGTAAAATTGACAAATTCAGAGCCGAGCTC